TACAGCTGGTCAGATGGCGATCGTAAGTTCGTCCTTCAAGTTGTCATGCCTTATCTTGAGCAGTACGGCTACAGGCTCTTCGTCCCCGAAATACACACAGTACCCTCCAATGGTGAGGCTCAGTTTTCTCCTGTCCGTTACTGGTCTTGTCATGAATTTACCGTCCACTTCAAAATTATCATGAAAGCTCTTTCTACTCTGTTCATAACCCAGGCCTTTCTGAAAATGTCAAATTACGAACGCCTCGTAGGGTCATTATGTTGGCCCCTTTTTGAGTGTTAATTGATAGACTATGGTGGCGCCACACTTTGTCTATATGTATGCTTTCCTATGGTTGTTAGTAGACCATGGGCCCCCGCTTTGCTCCATTAGGAAAGTGCCCATGTAAACAAAGCTTGATGCCATCAGTGCACTGAAAAATTGCCTGGGTTAAATTTAACCGGAGCGAGGATGAAAACTGCAACTACCCCAATCGTTTGGGTTGTTTCAGCCCAATTTGGGTGATTGAAATTAATTTCTGGTTTGTTTTAACGAAGCAGTGGTTAACATCTACTCATTTTGAAGGTGAAAATGAAACAGAAATTGGGTTAACACAGCCCATATTTGGCTAGTTGCACTTTTCACCCTTCCTTGGGTTAAATTTTAAGTTTTCAGTGTATATAGGCCTATTTCTTGAGTTAATTTCGTTGAGCTGAGCAAGAAAGTGTAGAGAACCAGTTGCTAGCAGTGTAAGCTGGTAACCTTGATTTTGCTAAGTTTTATACTATGCTGAGCAGCTCTGTTGATGTTGACTCCAGCCCTTCATAATTAATCAAGTAATGCCGTTATCAACAGGTGGACGGTTTTAATCTTTGTCCTTCCATCCATATGTAGTTCTTCTGGAGGAGCTCAGTAAAGCAATGGAGGCAAGTCGTCGCTGCGTCTTGGTCATCACGCCAAGCTACACCACCTCTGAGTATGGCAAGTACGAGTTGGAGCTTGCCACGGACATCATGTCCTCCAAATTGTCTGAGCGGGTCATCCCCATCTTCTTGGGTGTGTCTCCATTTGCTGACCCGTCACCGCTGTACGGCTCGGAACCCTCACTGACCTCCTTGTCTTCTGATTCGTCATTCACCATGCCATCCTCCCTTTCCGGTTCCTCGCAGCCATCTTCACTGTCATCTGATTGCCAAACTGATGAGGCACATCCTTCCACCTCGGGGACACCGCAGGATGGGATCTCGTCCCTCACGTCATCCCACACATCAGCAAACTCTGGGGCCTCATCTTCCAAGCCGGTCAAGATTAACTTCAACTTCAGCCCGTTGCTTGGACAGCTCATCAAAGTCCTGAAGCCACTAAAGACTGACAGAATAGAACCTTACCGTCCCTGCAATCACTCAAGATTCCTGAAGAGGTTGAGACTGCGCTTGCCAAAGCCCCCTGCCCAGCGGGCCGAAGATATAAACCTGCGTCAAGATGTCATCATGGAGACAATGTCACAAACCAGCGACCTCGTGGACAATGAAGTACTGCCTGACATGCGAGAGGAAGATGTGGGTTTCAGAATGCAGACTCTCCCCAGGTTGTACCCAGTTGTACCCAATGACAACACACAGAATGACGGCATATACATGTAATTAAGTGAAGGTATGCACCCAGATTTACCCATGTAGTGCTGATCCCACTTCTGCCACCAACCTCTTGATTTCAGTAATCCATGACAGATTGAAGAACCATGCCAGTTATGACAAAAGAGGTACTTAGACTGACAAATAGCCTAAAATTTGCTGAGAGATAATCATCAGTGAAATTTTATTCAGCAACGTTTTGTTCATATTTTCATCTGGAGGGATGCCTCAGAGCTGTCATTTTTTAAAGAAAAATGCGGAACCCCACCATTTTCATGCTTTTTGGGAATTGTTATATTATTCTCTACCTTTCAGATTCCTGCAAAAATTCAAACGTAGGACCCTTCAGAAAGTTAAATACAGTTCTCAATAATCAGTCACTGTGCATAAAAGTCACTCCATTCCCGACCCTAAATGTTGGATCTAGAGCAGTTAAAGTGAACCATGAAATATTCAAACCAACTTTAAACTGAGATGTACAGGTTTTTTTCTTAATGAATTATGGAATGTATATTTCCTATCTTACACAGAATTAATTTGAACTTATGTATAAATACGTCACATTGTATATTTCTATGATTTATCATCATCGTGATTTTGGCCATTGCAAGTACCCAGCTGTCTATAAATACACTTGGTCAAGAAAAATGTAGAACATTATGTTGCGCGTATAAAATGTCTTGCATTTTAACTTAAAAACTCAAAATATACTCCAGAACGTAAAGTTGCAGTGTGTATGTTACATTTAACTCATTGCTCGTGAGATTAGCTAGAATTTTCCCATTGGTCAAGTTGCAGTAAGATGCATTGATTATGACAAAGTTAACAGCAAAAACATAATTTCTGTGTTACAATGTACTTTCTAATTCTGTTCTCAGTGATGGTTGATTGATATTAGCGTGTATTGGTTTCGGATTAGACATCTAGTCTACGCCAACAGTTTTCATTTGACACAAAACCCTTTAGTTAAGAGACGATTAAAGTCAAATGATGTACTTAGTTTGCAAGTGCATGCAGTCATTCGGTTCAAATTAAACATTTAGAACAATGTTTTAGCTCAAATAAAGTTTTGGTTTTAGTTCCTTATTGTGACGTGTCGATTCAGGCTAACCCATGAGTATGGACAGTTTAAGTCATAATTTTTTGTTTTATATTTCATGCACACTGTTGTTTGTAATGTTTCAAAGTTAAATGAGTTTGGTCAAAATTAATTAAAACGAATACATTTGTAAATTGGTAGGCCTGTTATTATTAGTGTCCCTGCTTTGCTTGAAACATTGTGACTTCCAACTGGCTGGTTTCATATGTCAGTGGGAAAGAAGTTGAACCGATGGTAACGTTCATGAGAATTGCCCGACAAATTCATTGGGCGTACGGATATCGCTGTTGATTCGCCGGGACTTGTTTTCCAGCGCGTCTGATCGGACGGCCACGACAGGCATCATGACATCGTGGGCGTGACTCGTTGAGGGCGATTAACCCGCTATTTTATTCCATCATGAGCAGAAATCATTGGCGGTGAGTGATTTGAATGTCATAGCTTTTGTGTTATGTTTTGAGTAGAATCATTCATGAACCCCGGGGGAAAAAAGGTGTCCAAAAATACACGCCCTCTCTTTTCAATCGATCGCTGATATGGCCTGGTAAAACTGACCCGAAGGTGCGTAACAAGAGCACACGAAAAAACCTAACTCAAATGTGGGGGCGCTGTGGATGTACATGTACACAGGGATTTCTGTCACGCATCCGGCCATGCAACGGTAAAGAAAGAAACGGGGAAAAAATCCTTTACTTAAAAAAGGAACATTCACTCTGAGTTTTTCTTTGCATCTAAGAAAATCAAATCAGGGTTTTTTAAGCAAAATAATGGCAAAAACCAATATATTTGATGTGATGTGCATCACACCGATTTTTTTCAGATATTCAAGCATACAAAAAAAAGAACGAAAATTCTGTAAGAAATCAATGAATCAAATTTCAGGGGATTCTTTAATTCATAAAATGTACAAAATAAAAGATACAACTTTCTTCATTAAATCCACATAAAAAAGGTGAAATGTTATTCGTTCATCTTTGGTATAATATAAAAAGAAATTATGCAGTTTTTAGTTTGACCCTTTTCAGGCCTAAATGGCCAAATAAATTTTCTTGAAATATCCTCGAATAAAATCTGACTGACTTAAATTAAACCTGAGCTTTGAAATGTCGTTGAGGGCGTACAAAGGCATCAGCTTACTGGCAAAGACCGCCATCGATCCAAATTGTCTTGTTTCCCGGCTGAGCTTCCTTTGTGACATTGGCGTATAGACAAGAAAGTTGTCGAATGAGGCTACAAACATCGTGACTATTGTAACTGACCCATGAAATAACTATTTTTATGACAATTGACAGGTAGGAGAATAGACACTAGGATGTGAATTGCTTCTATAACCACAGGTTTCAATTCCTCTGTTTGGATTAGGCTAGGCCTTAGTTTAAAATAAGCTCCGTTTTTCCGACGTCAATTTGTCCGAACTCCTGTTTAGATATTAGCTACATCTCAAATAAAACCAGCAACTGGTATTAGAGCAGATCATGAGCTGATAATGTGAGCGCCAACGTGGCGACTAAAATTATTACCTTCCCGCCAGACCTCTGTGAACTGTTTTGAAAGGGACTTGTCGTTTCTAGGCTGGCAGTTACGTCATAGTTGGAAGCTGACCGGTTTAAAAACAAAGCAGTCGTCGATTGAATCACATGAACCAATGAAAGAAAAAAAACACTGTTGTATAATCAGCTCACCATTGTTGGGTCGATTCCTCTCCGTTCATCCCCCAAACCCCTGACTCTTTCTTTCTTTTTTTTAACCATACCGTCTCCCCACTTCCACTCGCGAGTACTCGTGCACTCTCACCCACCCCTTGCTCGCCCCTCACTTTCCTATGCCTCCAATCCACGGTACCTGAGCCCTCTAACTCCCTCAGGACACTTCTCCTGTTTTTTATGCCCCGTCTTGATCTTTCCTAGCAGCGATTTCTTAGTACCTCCTATGCCATCGCCTTTCGGTCTAGGGTTGACGGCTACCGTCGCCTCGGCTTGGTAACCGTTGTTGAAGACGTACGCCATCCAAGATCCAAAGCTGTTTTCCTTTACGCCGGCGATTTCCAGGCTCAAGACAACGACACTGTCGTCCCTGATTTAAGGTAAGGAAAGATTGAAAATCTTGTTCAAAAGTTTGGGTCTCCTTTTAAGTCAACTTTCGCAAGGAATTGTACACACAAAAGACAAAATTAGCGAGCTTGGAAGTAATTGCTAATGGTCTTGCATTCCTCTGAAAACGGTGAAAGTAAAACTATACTTAGAATTCTGTAAACTCTGATCTAGAAATAGATCATGGAATTCTGATCAGGCGATCAAGAGAAAGGAAACAGGCTATAGGCCTAGATCTGCTACTCTAAAATGCCAACTTTTTGTTTCGAATTGAAAAGAATAACCCCCGAAGAAAACGACGGAAAAGGAATAATGAAAGGAGTGTATTTATGACCAAACTCCACGGAATGCTTCCCACAGAAAATAACCCCAATTAGGTTAGAAATGACCCTCTTAAATAACTCATAAAATCGTCGTTTCTGACCAAGAAAACGCCTGAACCAACCCGGATTGAGATTCGTTACAAGTCGAACTCAGAAGGTATCTGCTTGTTTACCTGCTGCTCCGTTCTGTGCGGGCCTCGGTGTCCTCGATCCGCTCCAAGTTCCCGTTCTTATCCACCCTGAGCCAGCCTACGGAGCTATCCTCGACTTGGCCCTTCCCGACGAAGAACTCGCAAGAGAAGCGGACCGTGTCCCCAACCACAGCCGTCTGGTCGGCACAGGAGCCCCCGGTGCTTTCTAACAAACAAGGCTTCCGGGGAAGAGACCCGTCTGCCAGTAGGGAAATATTTCAAAGATGAAATGAGAATTTCGCATGAGACAAAAGGAGAATGAAAACACAAGACAAAACAAAAAACGTAAGCAAATGTGAACCGCACGACCATGCAAACAATACGACACTGAATTCCCCACAAAACAATTTCAAAGGCATTTTTCAAGAGCCCGTGGAAAATGCCCCATTTTGGTTGAACACTGGAAGGAGAAAAACCCAAATGAAAAGATTGCAACGACAAAAATCTTACTTAGGACAACAAGCTGGATAGTCCTACTGATGCTCTGCTCCCCGTTGGACAGGACGCAAGTATAATGTCCCTCATCATCGAAGTCTGTTTTCTTGAAGCGAAGGGACTGACCCTTCTCCTCGGGGCGGCGGTTTGCGATGTCTCCGTGCGGAATCCATGGAAACGGGATGCCGTTCTTGTACCATGTGATGCTACAGTGGTTGACGGCTTCGCAGTCGAGATTTTCAGCGTGGCCGGCATAGACGATCTCGGTCGCTGAAACCTCGTTCACAAAACTGAGTTTTCCATCTGAAATGGAAATGTGACGAATCAGTAAACTGAGCCCAGTTGCAAAGTCATGTAAGTATTCAATACGGGTGTTTCACAATAGTGCGCCTCCAAGAGTTTGCAACGCATTGGCCAATCCTAAGACGCGAAATCTGTCGACCCAATGCGCGTTTGGAAAGGGTCGACAGATTTCGTGCATTGTGATTGGCCAACACGTTGCAAACACTTGGAGGCGCGCTATTGTGAAACACCCGCTATGTTCTATCTTAGAGGTCGGAACCGCAGGGACAATAGTGACCACTAACCCGGACAGGTCAAACGTCGGCATTGGAAACCGGCTCATCATCACGTCGGCCAGCTGAGGTCCTGTAATCAACTGAAATCGTTACCCTTCTCAATTTCCTCTTATTTCCCTGTAAATAGCGACTTCGCGGGTAACATTTTGAGGAAACTGTGCAAGCAGTATATCGAGGAGGATGACGTTTCTGACCATTCTGTGGCTTTCCAGGTTATAGGACATCAAAAAGTACTGGAAATGAATCATGCACTGTACAACAGTGAAGATTGAAATGGCTGGAGTAAATTATATATCATTTCTTCAGTTTTCCATAATTTGCAAAGTTAGTGAATAAAAGATTATTTTTTTAAACATAGAAATTCAGTTCTCTTGACGACATAACCTTAGACATGGTAAATTTCCACTAGAGCTGAGTTGATTCTTCGCTCAGCAAAATCATATTTCTAAGATCTTCAATTTTCATATCACTTAGTTTTGATCGTTGTTTTAGCTTTTTCACTTTCGGCACTTGACAATTATCTTTAAAAAAGCTGATCTCATCTGATGTAATCTAATCATATTTTTTTTATTCACTGGTAGAGAACATGCTCTTCTTCACCCAAAACGAGGCCAGGCTTTCGATTTTTTAACAACGAATTCGTTGAAAGTTGAAATCAAAGTTGTGTTTGATTTCTCTATCAACCTTTACAGAAAGCCCAACCCAGATACGTCTAAAAGACTAAAATACAACTCGCGAATACCTTCTTTGAAAATGAAAACAAAACATTTTGTCCTCAAAGGTTTTTGGATAGATTTTCGTTTTTAACATGACGATGTATGCGCCCAACCGTCGAGAATTACTGTTTCGCACAAGCAATGTATACATCAGTAAAGATAACCACAAAAACAAAATGGAAAAAGTAGGTTTCAAAATCTGGAAAAAAGTAGGTTTACCTCCAACTGTTTGATCCACAGTGCACCCAATGCTGTCAGAAACGCAAATCGCCAGGACGAAAAGAACAAGGTCTCCGGTGAGGTTCATAATAGTTGAGCGTCTGAAGAAAAGTTTGCTGGAAGATTTTCACTTTGGGCTGTGTCACTCGAGCTCCAAAGCCGGTTTTTTTCCCACTGCACGGCACGAAGCGAGAACTCGATTCTGGCCTGCACCGGACAGTCCATCGGCCTTATATATCTTTCCTGGTCTGCTTCTCGGTGACAAGCTGTCCCGAAATTACCTCATCAAGTTTCAAGCGGAAACCAGCTGCAAGTTGGAAACTAAAACAATACTAGCCACGCACGCGTGGGGTGTGCGCGCAGGTCATGTGACGAGGTTAATCCCGTATAGAAACAGATGAGTTGCACCACTTTCGTGTTTTGAGAGGGGTTAATTATAGAAAAGAGAAGGCTCTGTGAATAATATTTGCCGTCCTATAGCAACTGCTGGGTTTTCCCACTCGTAGAACATCTCACTTGCAGGAAACAAATCTATGTTAAGGGCTACTAGCCTGGCGAATGCGTGGCCAACAAACTGTTGTGTTGGTTTTCGAACAGGGTTACATACCGCGGGTTGGCCCCGTTGTTAGGGAGTGTTCAGAAAATGGAGCCGGCGCCCCGCCCACGCGTGCGCAGAATGGTGTATAAACTCAGACTGAAACTAAACCGGCCAACTACCATGGATCTTTCGTTGGATCTTTCATATTTCTTTAAAGAATTTCTTCGGAGCTTGTTGCAGTTGTTTTTTTTGGGGGGGGGTCACTTTTGCTTTTTCCACACGTCCTTTTCATTTGTGGTGACTTTTGTGCGTTCAGTTTGTATGCCCTGTTTTACAATGAAACGATAAAGCTAAATATTTGACGTATCAAAATAGAGGAATAGAACTGAGCCCTTTTTATATTAAAAAGCTGTAGACAAAAAAGAATAGATCTCAAAGGGAAAATACTCTGGATGAGTGTCAAACTCAAACTGATAACCCCAAAAATCTAAAATCTGAATACTGAACTTCGACCTACTAAAGCCTGCGCACTTTATGCACTACTCGGTTGCCGCGTGATGAAAGTCGGAAGTGGGACGTGTAGTGGGCAGCGTTGTCATTCGTCTGGTACTCCGTGCTACGTGCGAGGTTGTAATACCGCATACCAACAGGTTATGCAGCTACAACCTACACGTGAAGAGAACAAAGTTGATCCTGACGTTACCAGTGAAAATGACGCAGGTCCGTTCGGCCGTGCGCGAGGGGCACGTTCGTGCGTCATCGTCAGCGCAATCATTGTTTGCCCCTTCCTTTTATGGGACTAAAATGAACGACGATTTCCACTCCATCTCGAAAACGTTTGTGGCTTTCTTGAAGAACATTTCTACAACTTAATTTTTTGGGGGTCATTTTATTCCAACTTAGATTTCGAACAGTTTTGGCCAGTGTAACTTCCACGAAACGGGTAATAGAAAAGGGGGTGGAATGGCTCCGCCCCTCCAAATCTGGGGTGCGGTCAACCAGGCCGAACAATGGAACAGAACAATGGAAACATTTTGCATTTCAGGTTTTTAAGTTTAATAAGGCACTTTTTCCCGCTAAGCGAGTCGGGTGTTTTTTGGTTTTTTTTTTAAATTATTTTTTATAAAGCGACTATATGGACTAGGAGTCTCAACTGAAATTCGAAAGCAAAATCCTGCAGATCATTTTGTCTGAAACCTCTATAATTTCTTTAGCACGTTCACTGCTACTTTCTCTCAATAAAAATGTAAGACCACTATACGCACGGCTGACAGGTCCAGGTTTCCTAAACTGATCCCTTGCAGGCTCGCGGCCGTGGACCACGAGCCCTTTTGCAGTAAAGGCTTATCGCCAGTTGTTTCGCAATTTTCGTCTCCTGACTTTCGAAACAGGATCCCATCCAGAACAAAAACAGAGAAAGAATTCAAACCGCAGTGCTGTCCTTTGCTTTCCAGAACTTTTCAAAGGACCTATTTTACAATGTGGTTTGAATAGGTTGCGAAAGTTTCCTTCGTTTTTTTAACAGCAGCCGGGGCAAATCGCATTGGGTACGCAAATGGGCCAATTCGTAATTTCACCAAGGCAAGGTCATTCATCAGGAACCAAACGCGCGCGAGTCCGCGTAGGGCTCACGGGTGGATCTATATCAAGCGCGTCCGGATCCCGGCGAATGACCTCGGACGGGTGTTTCAGTTTTGGGCATGCGCGGTGGAATACCGAACTGCCTTATTTGGTTTACGGCAGACGAAACTTTCTTTCGTAGCAAAGCCAATCTTTAATTTTTCGGGAGAAAGGTGTCTCCGCGCATCCCTATCATGCGAACGGACACCTACCGTGGAATATCGATGAATGTGATAAAATTTGCCGCGTAATCACCATTGTACTAATGCGCGGGCTGAGCGATCACGCGAATAATGATGAAACAATTCGTTTTAGACCATGACCATGATCGAAAAATTCCAAACGAAAATGAAAGTAACCTTTGATGACAACGGAAACAACAGCAAACCTTTCCTACCCCCCAATTTTGCAAAATTTTGAAATGCTATCGGATGACTCGCCTAGGTCACTAAGTCTTGATAATGCGCTCGTCAGGGAACATTGTGAATTACCCATGAATAGTCTGAATGAAACGCAAAATAGAACTGCAGCCATAAATTTGAGAACAAATAAACCACAGTTTCCTGTTTCATCAAATCACTGGTGTAGAGAACGGGGGCTCCTTTAGTCGGGAGTGAATTTCGCTGGTCCACGAACGACTAGGAAATGCACACGTTACGGTCGCATTGCTACCAACAAAATGAACACTCCCGACCAACATGGCCCTGTTCAACTGATGAGGGGGTGCCTCTGGAAAGGGCATACCCCTTAAAGTTAGGCTTTCAATTCTGAGACCGCATGCTCTTTTCGCAAGGTGTCGCTATCTCGTCCTTTATTTATTTATTTGTGCGTGTATTTTGTTTGTTTGATGCGTGCGTAAACTTTGCACACACAGGATGGCTCGCACATCTGTCGATAAAAATTGTCTCCGTTACAGGTTTTTGCGACATTTGCAGGGGCGAAGTTGGCTCTCTGAAGTCGGTGGACTAAGTTTGCATGCATGGGGAGTTGGGACATGCCCAGAAAAAAAAGTACTTATTTTCCCTGTGTTTTATGGCATTTGCGACCAATGCAAGGACTCTGATTTTGAGTTCTTAGCTCTAGATGAAACATTTCTTATAATCTTATAAGTCTTATTATTATAAGTCTTATTATTAAAACTTGAACATTCTGTGCGTAGCTTGGTGTAGGGGGCGTGGTCTCTCCGAACCCCCCTCAATCCATTGTACTAATTCCATCCTGTTTCGTCTAGACATGGAAGATTGATGAATTTGAGAGGGTGATTTTGTTGACCTGAGGACCGAAGACTTACACAGCTTTTATTTCATTGGGGTCGTCCAAGTTTAACAAAATGGAAACAGTGCAAAAAATGTTCTAAAGACCTGCAATTTCAAAAATTGTACCGTTTGGGCAACATTTGGCCTTCAGTGGTATCGAGGAAAGGGCCGGACGGATTTTATTTATTTGTTTAAGTGGTTTGGGATGGGGAAAACATTTTCATATTAGGTTGTACTCAAAGTCATGAACACGCGATACAACACGGCGTCGTATAAAAGTGTTTGAGGAAGAGTTTATGTCTATTGTCAAACGACCGGATTTACCGGTCTGCATGATTAACAAAGTCAGTTTCGCCATATACAGGTGATTTTTTTTTACCTGCATAGATAGGTGATGACTTTATGGTGCGTGATCCGTGTTCCGAGTTCTCCAGGAATATTCCTCATTCTCAGGAATTCCGGTTGCTCGCTCGGTAATCCCGGATGGGGGACCGCTCCAAGCCGTTCGTTCGATAGAAACTACTGACAGCGCTTTCTGTCATCACTGTGACTCCGAGTACTTGAACTAAAAACCTTCCTCCGTGACCTCCCGCACACCGAATTACCTTGGCAAATACAAATTATGCCGCTGTTTCCTCAGTTTCATGCAAAGATGAATCACCAGTCCATTGTTTCAGACGTATTTCTCATAAGGACGGATCTAGGATTCTTTCTTTTTTTGGGGGGGGAGTGGTTAGGTGGGTGGGAAGTTTAATGTTTGTATAATGAGCACGGGTTGCTACATGATTTGTTGCCGTTTATAAAGTCGGTTTAATCCCTTTGCCTTGTCCTTAACCGTACACGCAAATGAACACCCCAAAAGGCCCAAAAGGACAACTCTATTTGGAATTATTTATTATATGGCTCCTTGGAAGAGTAGAAATTTCATTCTTTAGGAGTAGTTTTTATTAGGGATTCGCTCTTTTTAAGAGTGATTTTCTCACTCTGTTGCATTTAATGGGGCAATTGGAGCAGATAGATATAGGAAATATTTGAATGTTCAACCTCTCCGTACTAGTTGCAAATATCGAGGCGTCATCAGTGACCCAAATCGTTTTGATCTTCAAACTCTGAGTCATTCTTTCAGTTGGGGTTCCAACTCGTGACATTATTTTTTCCATCTCTATAATTTGACATGGGATATCATTGAAGTTGACTTCAGACTAGTTTCATTTGTTTGGCAGGTAATTTGCGCATTGAAACACTCTTGGAAATTAAAGAATGTGTTTTAAACTTGAAAAGTCATACACCAGATGTTACAGGGATGGGGGGGGGACCTGGAAACCATAATTTATAGAAAGACCCGTCCCCCAGGTTCCCACACCCACATGACATACAAGTGACAACCTACTGTGTGTGAACTCCCATCGCATTGAGGTTGGGTGTAACCGTCACCGTCAATAAAATTTTATAGCGCCCTCATGTGTCTAAACAAATGTAACCGTGTGTAACGCGGATGCAGTATCCAGCTCGCCAAGCCTCACCGCACCACGCACGGTACGAGAGCGGGTAAAACGGGAACAAATTTCATGTGTAAGTTCATCTACCAAGCATCAGGAAATCAGCCAGTGTCATTTTTTGGTAGGATTTGTTTCAATGCAGTTTATTACCCTATAATACTGAAGGTGTCTGCTGAGAAATCCCCCTTTTCAAAGTAGACGTATCGATGACGGGTCACTGAAGGCCTGACGTTAGATTTCCGACACCCGGCATCATGACCGACTGACCTGATGCGTACGTGGCCGGCCGTGGGCTGGGTCAGCAAACCGTAACGAAAGGCGACGGAGGAAGCATTACACATAATTAGGCGTCGCTATGTTGGCAATACTTACTTTGGATATACGGACAACACCTTAGGCCTTGTGCACAAACCTAGTATGGGACTTGTCTGAAAAAACCTAAGCAGGTGAGGGCCTAGGCTAGGTGTTTCTAAGTGGGCCTAAATGCTTTGGAATTTCCTTGGCCAAATTTAGGTACTGTTTAAATTTAGGACATGTTATCACTTTCTAACGGCTGTTATAACATTTTAAGGGAAACTTAGCATTGTCCGTATACAGGCATAAGAGGTACATGGAACACTCCCCTGCAACCGCTAAAAAAAGAGTGACAATAATGTCCCAAAATGGGGGGAAATATTGAAGCACTAGGCCCCCTAGCCTTTTTTTTCCAAGTGGATCTGGGGGCCTGTTTGTTTAACATGGGATCTGGATTGTGATCAGTGATCCGCCACCAAAACCCACCTAATGGATGGAGCGAACCAGCGATGGGATCACTGATCCAGATCCATGTGAAACAAAGTGGCCTTGATCACGATCAGACACGATCTGACGTAGACTGGTTCCTGTACATACATGTAGTCACCGCTACCTTTTTAAAAATCTCTCATCTTGCAGGGACAGAACGGAGGGTTTGGTCTAACGCCAACACCCAAGAACCTGGACAAAATGGCCACGCCCGACCAAGCCCCGCCCACAGGGGAGGGGGGAGAGGCCAAGGGCACTCCTAGTAAATCAGGCAAGGTAAGAAACGGCTTTGAGAAATCTTGAGAATTCTTTCCTGAAAGGCAATTAAACACCAATATTTAGGCAGCAGTGAGTTAGGCAATTTTGAGTTAGTACAAAAAGTTTGTAAATGTGTGAAGTGATTATGCTGTTGCAATGTAAAAAGTGTTTTAAAACATGAAAAATGTGATGTAAAAGTATAACAATGACATGATTTCAAATTCTGTCTTAAAAGCAAATTTGATGGATCTTTTGAAGAGATAAGGTTATTTAAATATTTGTGGTTTGAGCTGAGAATATCAACCTGTTACCCCTGCCCACCATGCTTATAAATCTGCGCTGAATCAATCAGAGCTCGTAATGTTTAGAGTCTAGTGCTTTCACGTCTGTCAATTGCAGTGCAACCTGTGTGTGTGCGTATAAAATGGAAACGGCTATTAGTGAAGCCACCAGGAACAAGCTTTCTGGAGGGCAGTTAAGGCAGAACAGTTGTTGCCTCGCTCTTGCATTATGTGTTGCAGCGGTTCATTGGCTTTGCATAATTGCTTGGAAGCATGTTTACGTTCGCCGCCCAGTTCATTTCACCAAGTGCTGTTTGTCACCTTGGCCACAGTCCTTTCATGTTCGCTCAAACGCACGCATCATTTGTGTGGGAAATTCTCCCCTCAAGAACACAGCCAATGGAAACTGACTAGGCCCATTGGAGTTATTCTGAAATATTGGCGAAGGAATTGAGTGGAACAGGATTTGTACCCGAATATTCAGTGATGGGACGCAGCGATGCACAACTCAACAGGGTGTGCAGGCATGGCATAAATAGTGTGGACCTCCGCACAAAAGTCCACAGAATGTAGGGTATGATGGCATTGTGTGGACTCGCACACGTCCACACAATGTTTTCCCCTCTCTGAAAAACAGTTTTAGAGGCATTTTGGGGTCAAGGTTATTTGTAGCAAAATGAAGAGGAACAGTCCCGGAAATCATAATCAGAAATCCAGCTCGAAGGAGTTATCCTAGTTGGAGAAACAGGAGCATTTTCCTCATATTTTCTTAACCACAGGAGAACAAAAGGAATGTCCACACTTTGTATGTAGAACAAGTAGGAATGTGTGGTTGTGTGCATGAGTGATAAAAATTATTTAAATGTAATTTTTGGACTGTTTTCTGGTTTGAAATCAAAAAGTCCCTTCCCAATAAATGTTTCATGCAAAGGAAAGTCAACCTAATATTCATATTTTCTCTTTCCCTTAAAAGGAATTATCATATTTAAAAAAAACAAAGTCGGCTGTTGACACCTGTAGAACTTACCGTGTGTTTGGCTCTGAAAAAGAACACGTATATGTAGTACGAAAATATTCCTGTTCACATGTCCTATTTACCCAACCTTTAAATATTGATCGTAAACTGTTTAAGCTCATTTGCAAGTCACAAACAGATTCAGCAGCAAGTTTTATGGCGTATCTGTTAATTTTTAATTTCAGATGGATTTTTGAGCCAGGCAGGGAACATGTGTTCCTGCACAATTGATTAAAAAGTATTGAGCGGTGGCAGATGGTGTGTGGTGTTGTTTAGGAATTGGTCATATACTCTCTCTGTTTGGCCTTTTGGCTTAAATTCAGAGCCAGAGTTCATTCCTGTTCGCCACTTTGGAATTTATGGAGAAAGAGGATTCGCTGTGAGTTAAGCAGGAAAAAAAAGACTGGATTTTTTAAATGAACAGAGCTGTAACGCCCACGATGGTACAGCTGCCACGTCCTTTATTTCGCCACTTACTGTGAAAACCGATCAGACTTGACAGTAGGTGGCGAAATTACGTGACCTGGTGACTATAACGTCATAAACATTCTAGGCTCACTTGATAATTTTTATTTTGCCACAAGAAAAGGAAGGGCTATTTTGTTATCCAGCTGTCTCCATGTGTAGTGAAAATTTAGTAGTTGGTAAAAGTTTTGATCTAGTTTGTAAGTGATTTTTATAGATCAGCAAAGAATACTTGAAGTTTAAGTGTCAAAAAAGTCATTGTAACTGTTTTTATCTCTCCCAATAAAGCTGGATACCTTGGCACGGGAAGATCTGATCAAATATGTGAAGAAGCAAGCCATGCAGATGCAGAAACTTAAGGCACAGTGTGATAGTAAGCATGAACAACTTTGAATCCTGTTGAAAATTCCATTTGCAAAACTCAATGGCACACAGGTGTTCTTTGGTTTTTAACTTGTATTTTCAACAAGTCCAATTAAATGCCAAATGTGCCAAAAAAGTTGTAATTACTACTTAAAAGGAAATTCAGAAAATGATATTTCATAATTTGCAAACTAAATAAACTTCTTATCCTCATAAGATTAAACAAAATGTAACAAATTATGTCTTGATTTTTGGAGAATTTCCAAACAATTTTTCTGAAGCTCTTTGACCTAGCGCTGAGTAGAAAGTGACTATGCTAACAATGCCTGAGTTTCAATCTTACGGATACTTCTTGACCGTGGCACATCCTTATTTGACACGATTGAGGGCACTATTCTGTTATCTCCAGAACTCACAAAGGAGGCCAAGGAGAAGGTGGAGCCTGGCGAGAAGCGCGGCGCTGCCCATGCAACGGAGGAGCTGGAGGCAAGACTCAAGATGGCCGAGGCTGAGCTGGCCGAGATGAAGGAGGAACGGGAGGGAATGTTGAGAGCTTACAACACTGTACAGCAACAGCAGGAGCAGACCGCCGAGACTCACAAGGTAACCCGTGCCTGCAGCTAGCCACGCCCTGGAACCACACCCTTGGACCACACCCAGAAACTCCTTGCTGTTAAACCTGTGGTTTTAAAGCCACACTTAACCACGCCTAACAGACACTCGAAATGATCACACCTTACAATCACTCCCAGATCAGATATCCGTGTGATCATCTTTGGTAATGACTCTAAAGGAGGCTTGGTGGCTTCCTGTAGCCAAAGTAGGAGTTTGCTGATGGATCCAGTGCGGTAGAATGGCACACCACGCCTTTGCCATATCCAGAAACCACACCCTCTTGGCAAACCCATTGGCCTTCTACATGTATCTCTTTCTCTTCCATTGAACTTTCAAATAGTTTTCACACAATGAAAATTTGTCGTCCACAGAATCTTGAGGACGCTCTGAACAAAGTTACAACAGAGAAGGGGGATTTATTAAAAGAAGTTGCCCATCTGAAGGAAGATTTAAGCAAGGCCTCCTCCAAAAACAAGGTAAAACCCATTTGGCACAACATTACGTCTTTAAATTTTCATCACAAATCGTTCTTCCTGATGACAGCTGTGGCCGTTAGGAGATTCCGGCAAACATTATATACAGAAGTTTTATTCTGACCGTTATTTTCTGGAATAATTTCTAGGAGCTGTCAGAGCAGCTGGAATGCATGCAGATGAAGCAAGAGACAATGGCATCCACGTTTCAGTGTCTGCAGGAAGAGCAAAGCACTCTGGGAAATGAAAACGAGGTCAGTGTCTCACACTTGTTAAAAGGACTGTATGGTTTTTCCTGGATGAATTTGATTTAAACTGCTCGCCTTTTGTCGCTGAAGCTATTGCGTTTGATTTTTCCTTTGAGGCATACATTATTGTGAATCTTATTTTAAGGAAGATGTACATGTATGTTGCACCATGTTTAAGAACCCTTGTTTTGTTGAATTCATCAGAAAACAAATACCAGTTCGAAAAATTCTGACTTTGGATGAAGTCGTTTCTAATTGATTTATTCAGGGTTGCCCTTTTTTATGTAAAATTTCTGTTTTCTTGAAGGCTTTGCAAGAACAGATCAAAGTGTTAACTGCTGCAAGGGATCAGGTGATGGATTCTCTGCAGGCTTTCAAACAGCAGCAGCGGGAGACAGCCAGTGATGCCAGTCAGCTCCAGAGTGCCCTTGCCGAGATCACATCAGAGAGAGACGAGCTGGCTGCCCAGCTGGGAGCACTGCAGAGGTCCCAGGAAGGCTCTGCTACAGAGATTCAGGAGCTCAAGTCCAAACTGGAAGCTGCCAACGAAGAGATCAGTGTCTCGGAGAAGCAGGAGGCGGACAGGACGGTGGAAGCGGCACAGGCCAGGAGGGCTCTGGAAGAGGAGATCCAGAGGTTGCAATGCCTTCAGGAGGAGATCCTGGCCTCCAAAGACAGTCTTATCTCCACCAATGAGGAAGCCAAAAGAATCCTGAGAGAGGAGATTGATTCGGCCAATAGAGAAAGACTCGAGACTCAGAAAGACCGAGACAATCTGGCAAATGAGGTGGCTAAGCTTAAAGAGGAACTTGCACGAAATGAAATAGATGTGGGCGATGCTGCAAAGAGACAGAGTGAGGTGGACAACCAGTTATTGAAAATGGAGGAGACATTAAAGGCAGCCGTCGCCGAGAAGGAGGAATCTAACAAAGGGATAGAGGAGCTCAAATCTGAAATTGGAAAGCTGAGATCTGAGCTAAAGTCAGCAAATGAAAATCTTAGCTTATCTAATCAGGACAGGGACAGCGTCGAGGCCATGCTGACCGATCTCAAGGAGGAGCTGGAGAGTCTGAGACACAAACTGCAGGAGTCTGAAGATTCTAACGGCGAGCTGAAAATCCAAGTGGATCACTTGACCAGTGAGAAGGGTAGAGTAGTCCAGGAAAGCCAGGCTTTCAAAGATCAAGCTGAAAATTATGAGGCACAGCTCAAAGATCTAAGATTGGAATTAGAGAGCTTGAGACGAGAGAAGGACGAAGCCGTGGAAGATTTGGAAGAGAAGAAGAGGAGTGCTGGGGTTGCGACTGAAAATCAAGAGAAGATAAAGGGTCATCTTAACGAAGCCCTGGCTGAGAACAAGAAACTTCTCGAGGGCAGTAAAGAACTTGACAAACGTATAGGGCATCTGGCGGAAGAGAAGAGTCAGTTAGCTGTCAAAATAACTGACAAGGAATCAGAAAATGTGTCGCTGCTGAATGATGTGGCTACTTCGAAGAAAGAGAGGGACCAGCTTGCCATAAAGGTGGAAGAAGTGGAGGGAGAAATCTTGAAGCAGATGCAGAGGAGCAAAGATGTAGAACAGAAAATGCAGGAAAAACTCACGGAGGCTGAACAAGAAGCCAAGGCATTAAACCAACGGCTTATTGTAGCAGCTGAGAACAACAAGAAAGCATTAGAGGTAGTTGAAAGAGAAAGAGACAGAGCAAGAGACGAGCTGGAGGCGGTCAAACATGACCAGACGAGCTCTGCTGAAGAACTTCAGGAACAGCTTCAGAGCGTCCGCTCTGAACGAGACACATTAGTGGATGCCAAGCTCTCTTTGGATTTGGAGGTCCTAAGGTTAAACAAGGACCTGGTCACAGCTCAGGAGAGCCTGAAGGCCACCCTGGAGGAACTGGAATCGAAATCAGAAGCCGGAAACAAAGTGGCACATCTGAAAGGAGAGTTGGAAGCCATGCAACAGACTCACGATGAACTTCAAACTGAGCTGATGGCCATCAGGGAGGCTCACCTGGAAGCTTTGAATCAATGCACACATGCTGAAACACAACTGAAAGCCTTGAAAACTGGACAAGAGACGGGTTCTTTAAGAGAACAGGAGGAACTTCGGGAGCAGTTCCAAAAGGATCTCGAGAGACTGGAAGCAGAGAAGTGTGAAATTCTAGAGCAGCTTGAAACTTTGAGAAAGACCACTAAATCATCTGACAGTGCTCTCAAGCTTTCACTACAAAATCTCGACACTGAAAAAAGCAAGTTGACCATGCAACTGCAGGAACAGGAGGCAAGCTTCAAACTTCTAATGGAAGAGAAATCAGCTACCATTCAAGATCTTGAAAGGGAAAAACTTAAAGCTTATGAACAACTGGAAAGCTTGCGAAAGACAGAAGCCTCACTATACCATCTTGAGGAAGCCCTAGAAAAAGTGAAACTTGAAAACGAAGAACTTCAGGAAGAGTTGAAGGCCAAGGAATGTGAACATAACAACAAATTAGGACAACTCAAGGAGCAGTTGGAAACTGGAGAAGCTAACCAAAACAAAACTGAAGAAGATCTCGCAAGGATGGCCTCGGAGCTTCAGCATAAAGATTCGCTGATTCAACAAATCAGAGAAGAGATGAAGGTTGAACTGGAAGCTAAGCAGTCAGAATTAGACAGCATCTCAGTCGAGCTGGCAGCTACCCAACAAGTCAAGGAAGACCTGATTTCAAAGACCGAGTCCGAATCTCAAGAGAAATCCCCAGAGCAAGGAGATGCGTCCAATTCCCAGCAGGCTTCAGAATCTAGGATTCAAGACCTTGAAGCTAAAATCAAATCTTTAGAGGCAGACAAAGTGGCTTTCAAAGCCAACTTTGAGAAGCTGAAGAAAGCCAGTCAGACCAAAGTCCAACGTCTGAAGGATCAGGTGGAAGCCCTTCAAGAAGAGAAGAACAGCCTGGCAGAAACAGTCGATGCCTTGGCATCATCTGATGGAAGCAGAGCCAGCCAGATCGAAGAGTTGAGCAAGTGGAACGAGTCCCTGAGTGCAGAAAAGGCCGACTTGGAATGCGAGGCGAGAACAGCGAGGGAAGACTGCGAGAGGCTGGAGGAGACAAAGCGGGGGTTGGAGTCGGCCTTGAAGGACTTGGAAGCGGAGAGGACGTCCCTCTTCACCGACCTGCAGGCTGCACTGGCTGAGCAGAGCGCCAGCACCGAGGGCCAGCAGGGATTGACTGAGAGGCTTCAGGAGACAGAAGCGTCCAGGCAGAAGCTGATCAGCAAGTTGCAGGAGGTCCAGGTGGAGGTTGACCAGAAGGCAGTGGAAGTCAGCCACCTGAAGATGGACTTGGAGAAGGCTTTGGCAGAGAACGAGAAACTAAAGGAGGCGGGAATAAAAGAAACCATCTCAGAGAGCACATCCAGAGCAAGAGAGGTGAGGGACAGTGGTTAATTTAGAAACCCTATTTAAAAATTGGCGATTCCTAAGGATCTGAGCACAAATTTAAAAATTACTCAATTCCCTCTGGAAATCTGTGGTAATGGAATTTAAACTTGGCAGGAAATTTAACATTTTATGATCTGTCTTCGTTGTTTTCAGCACCATGATAATTTATTGGAAGTTGGGCATTGTGTTATAAAATGGAACCCCGGTTAAGTTTTCACAGAGTGAAGAACAGAACAGATGTCGTTGACCTGCCCGTGGAGCAGAACTGCCAAGGGAGACTTCAAGAACCTCCTTAGTCTGTTGAAAGTACCAATCTAAGAACCCTTTCTGTTGAATCTGTTTTTCTTTTATGTTCTAAATTCTCAGGACAGTCCAAGAGAAAGAGAAACTCACCAAGGTGCCTCTCCAGCAGGTGGCTCACTGCAGCAACAGTTAGGTGAGAAAATGGACACATTACATAACGCTACAACTTCAAACATTTGACCTTAAATAACATTTGCTGGAAAACATTTTGGACTTCAACATAATTTGTAGATGTTACAGTCAGTCATGCATATGTATGTAAGCAAGAGGATGATTTCTATTGAAATAAGTGTTTTATACCGTCGTCTCCCCCGTGTTTGAGTTTTCGGAATAATTCTTTGTAAAAGAAGATGCACTCACAGCATGAGCGAAGAGCAAGTGCGGAAGTTGAGATCCCTGTTGAAAGTGAAGAAAGACAAACGTGAAGTTCTGTTTCGTCTTTGCCCGAGGAGACCATTATAGCCGGCAGGTGTCGTTTTTTTGATTTGTGCATGGCAGAAGGTGTCTTTTTTTTTTTTGCAGACGCCAAGGGGAAACAGCTCAAAGACAGTGAGGAGAAAGCACAGAAGTTGAGATCTCTGGTGATGAAAGTGAAGAAGGATCTGGAACAGGCAAAGAAACAGGTAGTTGGAGAAATCCATCCCAACACAGCAGTGCTTTGACCGAAAGGGCAGGTTGCGTTTGAGTTTGCTTGTGTCTGTCCCCAAAATAAATGGTTCCTCCTAAGGATGGCGATCTGCTAAGAATATCCACTGTCTATGGGAAATTTCAAAAACGTGCAAAAAATTTTTCTTTCACAAAAAGGAAGACTTTAAAAGTATTTGAAGCCAAATGTATGTCGACTCGCGCAAAATACTAAAAAACCTGTTATCTAAATTAACATCTCCCCAACGCAAAAACAAAAAAATACATCTTGAAAAATACTTAAAGAGCCATAAAACATGGTTAAGAAATACCCCAGATTGAAATCCATATAAACACACAGTTTGGAAATTCTGATCTCGTCATTGTATGTGCGTTCATTGTAGGTGAGTTCTCAGACTGAGGAGCTGAGCCGTGCAACAGCGGAGAAAGAGCAGCTGTCCAAGAAGTTGGAATCCCTGAACCAGCAGCTCAGCGGTAGCAGGCAACACATCGAGAACTACCAGGTAGGACCAGTGGTGTAAACGGAGATTGCTTTTTGCAAAGGGTAGGGGGGACACTTGGGGGTGGGCCGCCGTTGTCTGGAGGGGGGGGCACTCCGTGGGTTCAGTCACAGTCAAAACACTGATAAAGGCAGATTATAGACAGAGTTTGTCCTAGGGAGGGCACATTGGAAGGACAGGTCTTAGGAGAGGGGCGTGTCCCCCTATGGCCCCCTCGATGCCCCCCTTAATAGTTACGCGACAGGGTAGGACGCGGAATGGCCCAAGATTGCTTCCTAAACCGTTTATAATCCAAAATTTGGTTTTGTTGCATTTTGAAGAATACAGGATTATTCAGCCCATTCACTGTTACTTCTAAGACGAGGCTTGATATCCAGGGGTCTTCCATTTTCCAACAGTTTTTACGAGCGTGCAAGACACATGCTGGAACACCCTGTACACTTTTTAAACGTATGACAAACATTGACATCCAGTGCAGAACTCTTTTTTTGGGGGGGGGGGTTGGTGTACCTTTATACACTTTGGAAAGTGGAACGGGTCCAGACCAAACAATCTGATCTTTTTTTCTTTTTACAGAGCTTACATGTGGAATATGAGAAGTTACAAGATTCTCTGGATGCTGAGAAAGAATTGTGAGTGCGCACACGCTAAAAATGCCCAAATCATTCCGAGGTATTTCAAAATTAGGGAGCATGCAGTTATGAATATTAGGCAGAGGGTTTTCAATATGTTCTGAAAACCGGTTGAAAACGTGAAATTAATCACAATAAAACTAGTGGTTGCAACAGAAGTCTGCAATTCAAAGGTTTGGGTTGTTGATTTTGAATTTTCTTGCCACTGACTGTAAAGGAGTTCTCAAAGTTCTTCTTTACTTTTGTGTTTGTGTCAGTGCGAAGCTTATAATTTTGTGACAAATTTTGACGTGCCTGTTTGCTGACTCTTCTAGGTGTCGTGAACTGCAGAAGAAGCTGAACGAAACTTCTGAAGATTTGAGGGTAAATTATTTTCTCTTTTGGAATATATTGGAAAAGATCAGTGTTCTAGCCATGGTGGGTGGCGCCAGGCGGCACCACCCGGTACGGTAAATTTCTGCCTGGCTCTTGGGTTCAAATTAGCTGTGCCGCCCAGCACGAATTTTCCAAAAAATTAACTGAAATATTGTTGAAAATGTACCAATTGGATCATATTTCAAGCCTACAAAGTCAGAGTTTTGCACTATTTTGTCATTTTAAACAAGTAAGGAAAGACCTTAGAACAATATTTCTCATTTTCTTCTTATCAAATCAGCCACTGATTGCAAAAACATTATTGTAAACGTGCCTTCACGATGACGTGGGAGAAGTCCCTTTTGGGATTCCCCTAAAAACCCAACTATGGGCTGCGAGAGCTCCGCTCACTGGGCTCGCTACGCTTGGTAATCCAAAAATTTACCAGGCACTAAAATGGTCATAGCTAGAACACTGGAATTGATATATTTTTCAAAAATGTATTTTTGAAAAGGCATATCCTGGACAAAAAAAACCTGAAGTGTTAGTTTGTGGACATGTTGATAAACTTACTTCACATAGCCGATGTACTTTGGTATTGAAACTAGAAATATCAAATTTTTTTTCTTCAGAATCTGTCGACGGAGTGTGCACAGACCAAAGTAGCCAAGGAGGAGCTGGCGAGGTCATGTGACCATGCTGTCAAGGAGATCCACATGCTGGAACGGAGCGTGTCGGAACTGAAGGGCAAGCTATCGGCCACAGAGGATGAACGAAATAAGGAAAGGCAGGAGAAGGAACAGAAGATGAAGGAACTGGCCGAGGTAGGGCTATCCTTCCCTTTATTTTTGCAAGTTTATTCAAATTTGATGTGGAAATTGAATCTACCAAATTGTGTGTATTCGTCTGAATTTAGTCAATCTTGATCGGAAGAAAGATAAAAACTCGGGGGTAAAATAATAGTTGACCAAGACCCGTCATTCCCTCTTTAAGAAAACCCTAAGTGCATGGTAAGTACATGTACAACGCCCTATGTGGATGATGACGTGACTGCGCACCTTTGCATGGTCGTCTACTTTACTGAAAGAATACCGTAGCGGTTGTGCCGTCAACAAGCAATTTTACCTGTGAAAAAAAAAATGTATATTTACTCAATCAATTTGGTTTGTATGTCTGTCCGACTTGCATTTCAACAACTTTGCCTGTTCAGGTGATCGAAGTAATGCATTTTCCTTTATTTTGTCTCAACAGGCCCTTGAGTTGATCAAAGAGTTTGAACACAATGCTGGAAAACAAAAGGAGGACTTTGACACGACTACAAGACAGCTGGAGGCCGCTCTCAAGGTGAGTCTTCGCCTCGTTCACTCACCCAGGAAAGTCGCAGTTCCAGTGTGTCTAAACCAGGGCGTAACCTGGGTCCAAGTGTAGATTGGGAACTTCGAGAGGGGTCATTTTCTGGACGGTACTTTTGTGGGTTTCAAATGATAGTTTGAAATAGTTCAAGGCTTTTTTTCTGTCCACCCAATTACGAACAAGGATCGATGTTGTTTGCTGCACAAGATAGGCACAGGCCTACAGCAAGAGCGTGTTTATGGACTACATAGAAACTTTTGTCCCAACTTCCTGTCCTTGTTACACCTCCCCAACAGGAAGCCAGCCAGAGCAACCTGATGGACCTGGAGATTGCCGACTATGAGAAGACTGTCGCCAACCTCAACCAGACCATCCAGGACAAAGATGACTGCATCGCCGACTACCAAGCGGAAATTGAGAGACTCCAGAAACGTATTGAAGCCATGCAGAAGGAGATAGGTCTGTGGCCTGTTCACGGCGACATATTTTGAACTGAATGTGTGCAAATGCAAGGCTAGTTTTTAACTGTACGGGCATAAATGAAAAACCAATTTCCAATGGTATGTTGCAACTAGTTTCAACTGAATGTGCATAAATGTGCGACAGGTTTTCAACTGAATGTGCACAAACGTGCAACCAGTTTTCGACGGAATGTGCACAAAATGTGTGACAGAATTTTTAACAGAATGTACATATTGCCTTGAGTCTTGGACGCTCGTAGGCAGTAGCACCTGCGTGCGTGCAGCAAAACCTATTTTGTTGTGCTTGCTGGTCACATAGTCACGCACGGAGTCAGTACAAAACAGGAGTGCAAGGGAATGATTCACATTGAAGCCTTTGGCCATATTCTCCTAGATGCGTCCGATAACCAGCGCGCTCAGGCAGACGAGCGGGGGAACAAACTCAAGGCCATGCTGATGAAGACCAAGAAAGACCTAGCGGACTCCAAGAAGGCTGTAAGTCGCCACCTTCTCTCCCGTGCCCCTACCTTAGCAGAGTAACCCCTCAAGGTATTCCTGACTCAAAGTAAGATCTGAAAAGGAAGGTTTGGTAATAAAGGGATCTCCCTGTATTAAACAGGCCTTTCCCTCAACTAGATGTGCCATGAAAGAATTCCTTGGTTTGGTTGATTCTGTTAATAGGTTTTTTATATTTGACCAGTTGTAGGTTTCTAGGCCGGGATTTAAATTCTGTCTTATTTTTCCGACATATAGCAGAAACAACAAATATATTCCAGATATTATCACATGATAGATCAAACGTAAGAACCTGACTCATTTTGAAAATTTGTTGCAGTTGCTGTACGGAGTCTCAACCTTTAACCTCTAAACCTCGCCTGTCTTCTGATTGTGCAGGAAGGTGACCAGCGGTCTACTGAGGCAGCTCTTCACGGTCAGTTGGAGCGACTGACCCAGCAGGCCGAGGCCCTCAAAGTGGACCTGTCAGTCATGGCAAGCGAGAAGCAAAAACTCCAGGACCAGGTGCGTCTCCAGAGAGAGCCAGAATTAATGCTGCTTTTCCATGTCATCAATTTCTTGAAGTGGCCAGTTGAAGTCGGGATCTCAAAACGTTTAGTTAGCACTTCATTAGTTAAAGACATGAGTTGCCAGACTTTATCCTTCAGTTTGTGTGCTAGATAAGGTTAGAGTGTTTATGGACATTAAAAACACAGTCTGATCGTCATCTATGTTAGGTTTGAAGTGTTCAGTTTAGTGTCTCGGCTTGAATTCACCATGAACACTCATTTTTCTGGCCAAAATATCAAAGACCCGATTCTTTAAATTCTGCTTGAATCCTCTGATGCAACACAATAGATGCATGTTCCAATTTTTTTTAGATGGTGCATGAACAGCATGATTAAAACAGAGAGGTCAATTTTTTGTCCAATTTTGTTGGTCTCAGCTACGTGCGGCGAGCGACGCCAACCTCCGGACTGTCCGAGGGTTGGAGCAGAAGAGCAGAACCCTACAGGAAGATCTTGAACTGGCAAGAAGCGAACTGGTCAGCACACAGGAGGAGTTTGAGAGTTACAAGGTAAGGAATCTTGTTCTCGAAAACAAGTGTCAATGTCGCCATCACAGTTTATCAGTCGAACAAACCACAAAGACGAGGAGTGTTCCGTTTTTCTGACAATTAGGAGGAAAATGCTCTTATTACACTTTGATAATTCCTATTTGAAAGTGGCTCCAAGTTTGTTTCTTTGTCTAGTGGGTAAAAGTTTACCTTTGACCTACAGGTCAGAGTTCACAGCGTTCTGAAGCAGCAGAAGACCCGAGACAGCTCACACGTCGACATGGAAACGGAGATGCAGGAGAAGGACCACCTGGAGAAGTTGAACAGGCAACTCAAGACCAAGATACAAGAAACCAGGTTTGTAGGTTTGAGTTCTCCAAGGAAGATACCCTTCCGTGAAAATTTCAGAGTGAGATGTAACTTACAAGTTGGACTTGTTAACTTACAGGCAAGATCCATGGGGGAAAGTTACTAAGGTCTTGGCCATGGCTGACACCAAAACAAGTGTCCATTGGACGCAGCCATTAACTAGCGGCTTTTATAGGCACATGTATTGTCACCAGCCATGGCCAAGACCTTTTGATGGGGTGTTTATTTCATGGATCTTTTGGCTGTGCTTGCTAGGGATGAGCTGAGAGCTGTGACGACAGAGCTGGAACTCCTGCAAGACGAGCACGACCGGCTGCTACAGCGACACAGTGACATGGTGTTGGACAGCCAGAACAAGGAGTCGGCTTGGAGGGAAAAGTAAGACGCAGTAGATCACTGATCTCAGGCTCATGTATAAAATACTGGAGATGTTCAAACCTCCGTTGTGTTCCTGACCTCCTCCCCAGGCTGTGAGACCCGAGAACCACTAGCCTGGCCTTGATCTAGGCAAAGTTGGCGACAAAACTGGTAGATTCCCCCCGCCCCATCATTCCAATTAAGGACACCTGCGTTTGCCTTTCAACCAGTAGCAATAACCCACATTACTTGATAGTCGGAAGTTAAGGTCAGATTTGCATTAATTATATGATGGCAATGGAGGGGTTGTTTGGCATTGGCTGTGCACGTGATTCATTGAGGGCGCTGTGCAGCTCACTGGAATGCCAAGTGAAGGCACTTCCTTAATACATGTATTAATACTACTAGCACACAGGGGACTAGACATGCTTAATAAAACTCTCCTAGGCCAACATATATATTTTCAACAGAGTTGTCCTCTCAGTATAAATCAGTCGAGTGACCACTTGGACAAAGAGATTGGTTCCCCTGTTTTCACATTTCAGGATGGAGAAGCTCCGCATTGAGAGTCAGTCTAGTAACATCGAGCACCGGGAGGCAATCCGGGAGCTCACGGCCCAGAACGAGGTGCTCACCAACACTTTCAAGGTGAATGGGGGACATGTTTTCCAGCTGTAGTGAAGAAATGGGTCAACCGCCATCACTGTAGTCCGATGTTGTGACACACAAGCCATCACAGACACCTTACCATTTCTGCCCCGAGTGGAGGTGCAAACTCGACCGCAAACGAGATTGTAAAAACTGCAGTCACTCTGATGCTGCAGGTTCCTGGGGGTTGTTAGTAATGCCGTTTGACCGAGTTGTTGATTTCTTGCCCGTGCAGACGCAGATGCGACAGCTGCAGGACGACCACCACCACAGCCTGCACTCGCTGCAGCACCAACTGGAGATGACGGAGAACCAGCTGTTTCGCCTGCAGAAGGAGCAGCAGCAGGCATACCAGCAGCAGCTGCAGCAGCCACAGCAACCGCTGCTGCAGCAGCGCGGGCAGGCGCCGGCCGCCAGGATAGCCGCCGACAGCAAGGAGAACTTGCCAGATCTGGGGCCCGCTAGACCCACGCTGGAGGAGAGAGAACAAGGCGAGGTGAGGTTGGGGGGGGGGTCGGGGGTCAAGAGACAGAGGATAGAGGTCAAGGGGCTGAGATGTGTGTTGGGGGGGGGGAAATTGGTGAGGATCAGGGGTTAAGGGTCAGGGGTCAGGTTGGAGGTCAGCGGTTGGTGTTAGAGGATGCTGGTTTATATAGCACAGTTTTGGGATTATGAAGAAGGGAAAGCACTGTAGATTACATGAACATTTTTCTTTCTTTTTTTTACATTTTTCTTTCTTTTTTTTTTTCACTGTGACAACGTCGTCTTCCGTTCTTGATCGGAGAATTTTAAATTTAATGTAGTTTGAAAATGTTGAGATTGCTGGTGCTCTGAATGCCCTTGGAGTCAATCTTGTCAAACTCTAATCCAGTTTTGTTTCCTGCCCCCTTCCCCCCGACATTTCAGGGTATGGAATACACAGACGGTGAGCCTAGCGCCACCAAGCAGCGTCTGTCACCTACGACTAGCAACCCTCCCATGGTGCCCTTGGCCCAACTCCTCAGCGAGTCGTCGCTGGTGGAGTCGCCCCCCAGCGTTGTCAGCCTCATTGGCTCAACGGCCGAGGAAGATCAGCTGAGGGCAGAGCTGACCACTGCCCGCAAGAAGTTGGACCACTTCAGCGAGGTGGGTGGGAGGGGGGAACCGCTGTTGCCTCGGGGGATTCGAGAGGCGTATGTACTCTTTGCCAGAACTCTCGAGGGGAAGAATTCTCTCAGGGAAGAACAAATAAAATAGGCAAGGACTGACTTGAGGTTTTACCTCCAGGTACCCATCAAAAACCCCATAAACTTTGTTAACGTTGAGGTAATTCTCAACTTACCTCTGGTTTATGTTTGCACACTTCTGGTATCTACTGATGAACCCCTTGAGGGTGATTTTCCACATGTTGTCAGCTATGTTGTTGCATGCGTGTTGTGTAGACTCTACTCAAGTAACTTTCATCAGAATGTGCACAAACCTCTTGGTCTTTTTTGTGGGCACCAGGACAACTCTTGCTAGCAAATGAAGTCCCCTACTCCCAGAGCCGATTTGTAAATTTTGAGTTCAGTAAATTGAATTTCATTTTTTAAATAAGCAACAACTGCCGTTTTACTTTTGCAGATCATGAGCGACAGCGAAGCGACCATCATGCGACTGACAGAGCAGGCCAAGGTCCTCAAGGAGGAGATCCGAAGGTTGGAGAGAAACCAGGAGAGAGAGAACGCCATCGCCAACATGGAATACCTCAAAAATGTCGTCCTGAAGGTAGGCCAGGCGTTCCCTAACGTCACAATTCTCTCTGCAGTTCCTGAGGTCAGTTAGGCCTCGTATTGGGTTCGGCAAACACGGTCATTGTGTAGGTAACATTCTACGTACTGTGGATTCCAGTCTCACCCACAGGGTTGACGTAAGAAGTGCCTTAGCATATTCTCACGCTTAAGTGCTTTTCGATTGTTCCTGATTTTTTCTCCTGACCGGCATGCTCTTCAGTTGCTCGGGTCTTATTTTACAGTTTTGTCACATTATTTAAGCCCCAGGATGGTGACTTTTTCTCACACCCTTTTCCTTACTATTGGTACGTTGTATAATAAGGCTGTCCCAGGGGTGGGGATTTTGTCTCTTCAGAATTGGTAATCCTCACACCTTAGGTGTGACAGGCTGTGGCTGGGGGTTGGGAAGGGGGAAAACTAATAGGTTTATCTTCAAACAAGGGTACCGGACGAATTGCTTGTGAACTGCCCGCCAGGCATTATTGAACAGACAGCATCGCTTGGATGAGTAACTGCTGAGCACATTGAAGCAAGTGTGACGCATGGTAGACACTCTCATCACATTGAGGGACACAGGCTTTGGATGACAAGTCGAGACGTAGGCCACGCACAGTGAATTACTGGACGCTCAAGCCCCCAGCAAACACACATCCGACAAGATGGAGATCATTTTATGTTAGCCAGTTGCAAGATGTGTATTAGATATACGCCATACCAGTGCTCAACTTAGTCTTAACGGAGTGACCAATTCGCCCCCCCCTCCTTTCCAGTTCTTGATGCCAGCTCAGCCAGGGGAGAAACAACACTTGATCCCTGTCTTGACCACTATGCTCAAGCTGAGTGACAAGGAACGGCAGGACATCACGGCTGCCCTTGAAGGTCAGTACAGCTCATCAGACTTCTTGGCTTTCCTGCAATTCGCAGGAAAGCTATTGTTTTTGTCACAATTTTTTTTTTCATTTTTCGGGTTCTTGTTCTTATTTTTCTCCCCAATCCCCTGTAAAATTTGTACAGGATTTTTTGGTTCATTTTGGCTAGCATTGAATCTTCAATCGTATTCAAATTTAAACCTGAAACACCATGTGAATCGCTTAAGGTTTTGTACCTTTTTACAGTTTCGGAAAAATTCCCCAAACATTTCTCCCTGATGTCAGTATTAATTGAACAAAATGAATTCTGCTCATTCGATTGTTTAGAGCCAATTTTAATGGATTGTTGTATTCCAATTTCGTTTCTATGCTAGGGGAAGAAATTGCAGTGGCTGGAAAAGAGTCTAACAAGTGGGGTTCCTACTTGCATCGCTGGTCTGGAGGCATTGTATAAACTGTTGCCACACTACAGAGCGGCTGGAGGAGAGGCCACTCAAAGTCCCAAACTCAAGCTTTTACTCTTTTATTCTTGCCTTCAACTCAAGTGTGCAACAAACAAAGGCTAGTCTTGGTTTCCAGTTGCAAGCACCATCAAAATTGAGGCAAGTGTGATCAAGACCCCTGGTTAACAGGTGGTTGATTAGCACTTACTTGTATCACAGAGCAAGGGTCTCCCATCCAACTCGAATCGGTGGTTATTACAGCAATTCATGGTCTGGGCTCCATGTTCTGCACTGTGATGCATGCAGCTCCTGACAGCCAGCAGTGGGTACCAGCAGTATGTCATTTCAGTTCAAAATATGTGTTGGAAAAAAAATCCGTTCACGGTACCCTCTAAAAGCCAAACTAAATGATGCGAGTGTAAAATCAGAAAATGTTGTGTAAGTTGTATGATTTTTTTCCTCCACTTCTTTCGTTGAGCAGTCACGTTTTCATCAGATGGGTGAAGAGCAGAGTGAGGAAATGTAAAGGACATGGGAAAATTGTTCTATAGGCCACCGTCACAATGCTGCCATTTTTGTCTTGCCCCCTGTATACCAAATGACAAAGGTAATACAACTTGACATTTTGACAAAGGAAAACAGACTACTTTTCCCTTCCAGCCTCAGTTTGGTTACATTGCTTTCTGTGGTAGAAACACAAGATGGCTGCCCCACGATAAAAGCTTCTAGAGCCACTTGCGAGGTGACAGAGAGTTTTTTCCCCTGAGAATTTAATGGTTTTTTTTCTAACCCGTAATCATGTCAACTCTCCATCAAAAGTGAATTTTTTGCCAATTTTGCTGGAAAAGCATTTTTTGCCTGAATTTAGAGTTTTGATTATGTAGAAAAATTGAGATTGTCTTGTGAGGAGGTTCTGTCAAACATAAATTGATTTTATTTGATGTAAATGAAGGAGAACATTGATTCTAAAAAAGAATGACATCGGAAGACACACTTAGTGTACACCTGTATTTATTTTTGTAACAGTTCCTGCAAACTAACTTCAGAACACATGGGATCAAGGAAATTCATGGTCGGTGGTAACCCTCTAGCGATAAGTCTGTAATCAAGCATTGTACTAAACTTGAAGTAAAATAGTTAAATGTAATATTTTTTTATTTTTATGGTTTGAGCTGTTTCTAACCTTAGTTACTTTTATTAATTTTTTTGTGCGACAGTCGCAAAATGGGCATTGTACATCTTCTGAACGTTAAAAATAGATTCAAAATAACTTAAAAAAAAAAGAAAACTTGTATACGGTAAACGAATACCTATCCAGGTTGTTTTCCAACTGTGTATGCGGTAAGGAACGTATATTTCAAGTTGTGCGCACTTTGTGCCTTAACCATTTTTCTTGATACATCGAGTGTTCTGAATAAAATTTTAAAAGCAAATCTTGTGTGGGTTCTTGAAATACCTTTCCTGGGAGTAATGCACCATGGGAATTGGAAAATCTTTCGAAAATATCTAGCCCGAATCCTGACAATTTCCGGCCAGAAATCGCATGCTGTGATATTTATTTCCAAGTATAAAACGATGGTTGATGTGGGAGATGAACTTCTAAGTGCTGGTGGTAACAGAAGACAAAGTGAAGAACTACCATTCCCAAGACGTCTTTAGCCAAGCTTTTAGATAAATATATGAGAAAACGTCTGTTGTTTGGGGACCCAAAGTGGCATAGCGGTAGAGATCCCGCCCTCGGAGGAGAAGGTCCCAGGTTCGAGTCCCGCTGGTGGCAGAGAAACCGGCAGTGGGTCCGAGTTCCGTGGAGCTCGTCTACCCAACAGGATAAAATAAAATAAAATAAAATGGAATTTTACTCTTTTTTACACCGATAACGGTTAAGTAAAAAGAAATAAAAGTCCCCGTTGTGACTACTGGGGGATTCGAACCCACAATCTGTCGGTTGAGCGTCGAGGTGCCTTCCAACTAGGCTATTACGCTCTTCTTACTAGAGAGTGCTCGGAAGTAATACATAAAGTATTATCTTTAAACTGATGCAAACGACAACAGCTCAAAGTCTAGCTATCAGCGTTTAAGTCAGCGCGCATGCTCTGTTGTACCAAAGGTCTGAAGCGCATGCGTGCTTGATCTTACGGGCAACGGGTTCTTTACTTTACGGGTTCTTTACTTTTCCATCTGAGAATTAAAGTTAAGTTTTAAACAAGTAACTGGCTTTTGGGAGTTTTGTTTAACTATCAATATTTATGTCTTATGTTCTGAAGGAAAACTTTCTGTTCGCTTTCTCATGAGCTGTTAGGAAACAGTTCAATGTCTGTGATAACTTTGTAAACATTTTGCCTAAGAATGGACAGGTCAGCGCGCTTACGCTTTTCTTGTATGAAAATTGTTAAAAGAAAAAAAACGTGATGCTGGGGAGGTCATTGGTAAATGTTCATTGAAAATTGCAAGGAGAGGTACTCTAGACAAAATCCGGAGAGCTTTGCCAATCTCAAATGCATTTATGGAAAGTGGCACTTGGCAAGCTACGGCAATATTTTCTCGAACAGAAACCAACAGACAAACAAAAACTGCGCCAGGTATACACCTTGCAATGCAGTTAGCTTGAATACAGCCACTCTGAACAACGAATTTACCAGAAAGTTGTCGCGGCTGAACTCTCTCGTCACCGTGAAAACATTTCCGGATTGCGGATTCGCAAGCACGCCTTTCAAAGAAAAATATACAGATCAAACCAAGTTGGTTTGTTGGTGTGATGAACGCTGCGCTGTAGAACATGGACAGTTCTTCACTTTGAATAGCATTTTAGGAAAAATCTTTTTGTCACTGCATTGCATTTAAATGTTTTGGCGCATCACACACAAATACACCGAGGCCGTTTTCCAGTACTCAACTTCGTCTCCGTCTCAGGCTTCGTCTTTGAAACCAATCCCGGCGATTGTGGGCCTGAAGCGTTTAGATTAAATTGAAGTTCTGTAATGTTTGGCTCGTTTGCAATCTTACTTGATGTTTTGTGACACTATCAGACTTATTATTGCGCTGACAACTTCAAAGTCAGGTAGTAAAAAGAAAAACAGTTCAGGCCTGAGACGGAGCCGAAGTCGAGTATTGGAAAACGCCCCAATAACGATCCTGTCAATATGACCCCGCACAGAAGCACCGGCAGCATAAAATGAGATAACATTGAAGACTCTCCTGGTGGTAGTGAAGGCAAACAGAGAAACTGTTCCTATGGTGGTTTTGTAATGTTTTCGAAACCACAAAAAAAATCCACTGAAGTTCTGTCCTTTTCATATAGTTACTTTACGACCGTAAACTTGTCTAAACAAGAAGTTGTGTTATTTTACCAGAAGTTTCTACGCAAATCCACGAAACCGTTTTGTTTTCTCAAGGAAGTACTTCAACTAGAATTTTGTCCAGGAAATTTTAACGCATGCCTGACTTTACATACAACACGTGAAGTACAGTCATTCTTACCAACATTAATTTACTTTCCACCCATGGTAACCAAAGATAGAAAAAACTTTTCAAGGCTGAGCGATCACACCAGGGAAAATACCCCTGGAAGGCCCAGCGACGCCCTCGAAGGGACGGTCTCAATATCAACCGGTGCGCCATTGTGGAAATTCCCCCAATAGTTTTATTCACGATTTCGGTTGACAACTCACAGTGAATGGACGCTTTGGTGCATGATCCCACAAAACGCTCCACGCACAAAGAGCAGGAACTGAAAAAGAAAGTAACATTTCCCACAAAGTGTGCTAGGAAAGCGTACGGGAAGTGTTCCTTTCTTTCTCAGGTATCCAACAAATGCGATTATTAGCAAATATCCCCGAACAAAACCATCTGCATGCAGGAAAACCGACAGTGTACGGTAGCAAGGGGGCGCAGCGTATTAAAAGCAGAGTACAACGGTCCGGAGAATTCAAAATCAAACACTGCCTCATTCATGAAGCGAAATAAGGGCTAAATAAAAATGCAAAATCGAGAACGTGAAAATAAACCAACGTCGCCAAATCTGAATGGTAAAAACAGGTACATGTGTAACGGTGTTGAACAGTGTTAAAATAATCCCAAACATCGACAATTTTCTTACAAAACAGCGTCCACAGAGTGTCATATTTGTAATTCATCTAAACAGGATGAACGTTTCATTTTGCAGCAGGCAGACAAATTCTGGCTCACGTAAACTATGTTTGATTCCGTAACAAGTTGAGGCCTGAATTAGTGTCTTTCCCTTTGAAATATTTGAACGCATTTTAAAGTGCAACAAGTTCTCAGATCATTGCTTTACGGGGAAGAAAGGAGGAAACTTAGTAGATCAAACAGCATGGCAGACTAAAGGACAGTGATTAAATCTAGACTTATTTTCAGGTTGGTGTATAACTAAGGGCCACAGCTAGACAGACGCGGGACTGTATTTGGAGTCCAAATTTCACCTAAAGCAGCTCATCGAAAGTTGCCTATATCTGCCGGTAAAACAGTTTGTCACGCAAACGTACAGCCTATAGACGACACCATGAAGTCCTCAGCTCAACAGCTTTTGGCCGTTATGAGTCATGTTTGCCGTCCAAACAATTTTTTACCACAGTTATTATAATTTGTGAATATTGGGATTCTCTTCCGTATTGATTGATTGATTGATTGATTGATTGATTGATTGATTGATTGATTGATTGATTGATTGATTGATTGATTGATTGATTGAGAGAGAGAGAGAGAGAGAGAGAGAGAGAGAGAGAGAGAGAGAGAGAGAGCGCGCGCGCGCGCAGACTGAACATTCTATCACGGTGGTCTAAAAGTGGCCGCCTGCTTTCCCTCCGTCCGCTACCTAAATTCCACTACCCATAAAACTCTGGACAGTTCCAACTGCTCCGCCAGTTTGCTCCAACTGGAAAAAAAGAGTTGTCCATGGCTCCTCTTTTAGAGTGATTTTCACCCTTTTGGAGTGTTTTCCACTCTTTTTGAGAAGAGCTATGTAGGACTCACTCTTTTTGCGAGTGAGGTTTTCACTCTTTTGCCTCTAGAGAGGAGCAGATCATGAAACCGTGCCAAGGAGGAATTCCCAGTGGACGTGGCGATTAATCCACACGCCTCATACAAATCCGAGCCAGTTGCAATGGCGACTGGTCAAAGCCCGGTACAACATCCGAAAACAAGCAGAATGACTGTGACAAAAATGCCTGTTTCGTGTGTACGGAAGGGAGTCGTATAGGACTTGATGGGTTCTTCATCATCGTATCGAGAGAAAAGTAACTTAAGACTTAGATGTTAAATGTTTCAGAGATTAAGGATGTGGCCTAATTTCACACGTCACACCACCACGGTGTTTCCGGCGGGTTTCCTGGATGGCACTTAATAGCTCCCCTCATCCGTTCCCAGGCCAACAAAGCCGGGTGTGACGACCTTTCAGTGTATATCATGTCGTGTGATGGGTTAAGGGGACGGGGAGAGCGCAAGCGTCAGCTCATGTCATCGCTCACAACATAGCAGCCCGAGTTGATCCAGTAGACCCCAAATGCCTGTCACGAGCAGGCTGAAATATGACACGCATCCTTTGGTTAAGTGGCCAATCGGCAAAAGGGCTTTTTTTTTCATTCGAGCGCAAAGCGCGCGACCGTGAACGTATTTAGCGCGTAAGTCAGAAAACACCATTATCTCCATTATAAAGACACGCAGATCAATGTCAAACACAGGCACCGCGTTGGACAGGCCGACTTCGCGAACGCTTATTGCTATGCCGTTCCCCAATGACCTGCAATGCGCATGATTTGGGGCATGCGCTGTGGAATCTTTCCAAATAATGATAGGGTGCAATGCCCCTATGCAATGAGAACCCTCCGCCAGGCCGAGGCGCTTAAGTACTCCGACAGATTCTTTCGAAAAGAGGGGTCTGTGTGCATGGGTCAAGAAACATGGGATTGTGTAAGTATGGCCCAGGATCGTCTTTGTACTGTAGATTCAGTGGAACCCATCTCAGGGCAAAGCAGACAAAAATGTGATTGAAAATTTGCCAGAGGAGCCTAAAAAGGTGAGGGATGTCATTTGAAAAATGGCTGCTGAGATTGAGAAGACTTGAGAACATTCACTTTTTGGGGGGGGGTGAGTTCGTTTTGGGCGGATAATTAAAAAGTCATTGGTTAACCTGCTAAAAATTGAAAATCAAATGAAATCTGAAGGACCAAACAACACATTTTTTTTTAGTTTGAGAGGCCTCAGGGACTTCAGTTGCCTGCCACGAGGCTCCAAACTTGGTTGATTTTACACTATTTTGAGTGGAGCTTGAATTGGTTCAGTGCACCCTTAAGCACGTGACACAAAATATTCAAAGATACTGCTTACGCAAGTGCGCCTACATTGTAGGCAGAATGAGAAACGCTTTCATTGACGATGTTTATGTACACAGCATTTCCCTAAACCCCCTAAACATTTTGCAAGGTTTTAATAAGATTTTGAATACAAGACAAGTCTAAAGCGGTACGGTAGCTCAATGGAATAGGAATTTGTCCATTGTGGCACTTGTAATTTTTTCTTTTTGTGACGCTAAATCAAACCCTATTTAAAAAAAAACTATTTTCACTTTTTTTCCGGAGCCCTTGATATTTTTCTGTCGACAAAATGCGTGTGCCCAGGTGTTGGTCATAGGCTATTACAAAAAATGTCCGCTGGTCTCAAAACGGATGTCCTCTTTTGGGGTGCACCACAAATAACAGAAAGGTGTCGCACACATCGCACACCACCACTCAGCCAAGCTTCGTGACCAACTACACTTTCACAATTTCCTTCCACTAGCGTGCTTGCCCTTTGTTTAGTTCTCGACACTTCCAGAGACCCCCCGCCACCCATTTTGAAAGGTCATCGTAAAACAAACAGCGGATGATCAATTCCGAGACTTGCTACTCTAGCAATGCTAGGTGTAAGTCCGAGAAGATGTCGTGCCAGTTGGTACGCCGCTCTTCAAGAATTTTTTCCCGTGTCAATTTGCCGAAAGTATCCACACGACTTTAAATAGTTGCACCTGTCTAATTCATCATCGATCGCAAGGTAAATCGAGAATTGAACAAACTCCCTTCGCTGAGCTGTGTTTACGACACATTTTATTGCATTATATTGAACATGTTTTGTAAATTTTATCAACCATTCATTGACACTGAAACGTAATGTGAAATGTTCCAGGTGTTTGAAAAACGGGTTTGGGCTTCTAAGGGAAACAAATCAATAAGGAAATTACTCTTTAAGTTTCGAGGTGAAAAGCACAAGCCGTAAACTTGAAGAAGCGACTGTGAACTACACTCTCGGTGACTTTATACACTTAAGGAAGATTAAAAATGTTGAATCTTGAAATCTTCGCTTGCTTCTATTTAAGGAAGAAAGTCATCCTTTTGATACATGTATAGTCATCTGTGGCCAGACATGCAGTCATCCGCCCCCCTCCCGAAGATGAAAAAAAATCTCATTTCATGTCAAGTTTGCCTCAAAAATATTCCGAGTCCAACGGCACACACGTTTAAATAGTCTTGGAAATCCATCCAAACTCTTTCGGTGTATCTTCATCATTCCAATAATTGATTATTCCCTGAATCCCATCCCCTGAGCACTAACCAAACCCCGTCCCTCATCGAGAACCGAAACCCGGCTCTTGGGTTTATAATGTTGAGAGCGTTCACTTCCTCTTTCGTTCAGAACAAAAATCTACCAGACCCGTGCCACCGCATCCGCGTTTAACTCAGCCGTCGAGAGTATTTACACAAAAGATGCAAGCAAACATTTAAGTTTTCAAAATCGCTACAAAACTGCGCAATGAGCCACTTTTCCATGTTGATTATTTTCCCAAACATCAATTAAAGAAAAAGCAGGCTCGTTAACGGTAATTGCATGAGTCTTAATGACCTGGTTTTTTTTCCAGTAGGTGTGTTCTGAAGTTCCTTTTGAAGTTCAGAATTTTTTTTAGATACGTATTCAACAGAACACAAACTTGTATTTTCCCGACCTTTTTTATGGAGGTCGGCCTATTGTCACTGCTGTCTATAGCATTTACTAATCTACAACATTAGACGCAGAATACATGTACATTGTACATGTACTTCCGTTGCGTGCAGTGCATCGGCAATGGACCTGGAAGACGAAATGGAAGGAAGACTACTTCATGGAAAAGAAGACTGAGTCACTTCCGTAATTGATAGTACAAACTGCAGGTTCAATAGGAAGCGCTTACTACATTGTTCTCACACGCTTCCACAAACACCTTCGGTTTCAACTATCACTGGAATCCTGGGCAACATCCGTTCACATAGTTACCTTTGACCTTGGGGAAGCTAAGAGAAACATAGATGACTGCTCAATGCAATACTTGCCCGCTTTCTGCAAACTCTCGTATTTTCATTACTAAGTCTTAGGCCCTAGGCTGAGATGTTTTCTTTTTGCGATGATCCACCATGCATGGAAATCTGTAGGAGTGTAGGCCAAGGCTTTTGGTTAAATTCTGATTTCGATCGATACATGTAGTTTAATTCAGCAATGGTTTTCAACAAAGCCGGGCCGGAAATGGAAGAACATCCTTTAAATAAGAGCAAAAACATTATTTGGTGGAGGTTTTCAATAGCCCGTTTTCAACAAACATGATGACATCACTCAGGATTTGGGGAAATCCCGTTTGGCTTTATTTGCGCTCTCATTACGTCATGGCTGCGGCATGCCAGATTAGACCGCTGAGCTGATACAATGCCATGCGTGCAAGGGGGTGACCGGGCTCGCGGTAATGTAAAGAACTGGCTTTCCGCTTTGACGGTGTTTCCGGGTTCCCCATGGTCAATCCTCTCTATAAAGGCAATCTATTCGTTGCCTCAACTCAGAGTTTACACAAAACCAACCATAAAAAGACCCACAGAACACTAATCTGGTTGTTATATGCTCTAGAGCTGAGCAGAACAGTCGTTTCGGTGTAACAAAAATAAGCTCCGAGCTTTTATTCACTAGAGGCTCAATTGCACTCGAGAGGAAACTGCAGTTTCACAAATCAGTTGAAAAAAAAATGACTGAGATCGTGTCACAAGCCGAATTAATGTGGGCAACTCCCCGCGAACCGACTAGTATGACAGAATGGGACCAGCCGCCTGTCAAACGACCCTTGTCCCCCGACGGGACTAGACGCTGCAGCTACAAGAGCCAGAAGTCCGTGTCGGATGTTCTTGGTCCGGAGATGGCCCACGTACAGCTGGCAAACGACAGGGAAGCCCGGGAAAGCCCTGCCGAGACCGATGCGCTTCCTCTTCGAGGGGAGGCGAGGCGTCTGAACCCTGACCTCCTGGCTGAGGCCGCTGCATTGATGGACGGAGGCGTTGAAGAGACTGTCTCTGGTGGGACCCGCGTCAAAGACCTCATCCAGAGATTCGAGCCGGCGGGCCAAGAAGAGATACCAAAGAAAGGGTGCTGTAATGGTCACGCTGAAGTGGAGGAGAGGATATCCTCCAGCAACGCAGAGGGAGAAGAATCCTTCCTGCCGGGTGATATCATCTCCAAGACCCTGCATAAAGTCAAGGAGGTGGCCAAGACCATCGGCAACACGGTGGTAGAAGGGGTGAAATACGGAGTCCGAGAAGTGACACACGACATCAAAGAGGTGGCTCATCGATTCCGTCTACCACTGGTAAGTATTTTCATACTCTATAAAATAAATTCTGAAAAAGAGAACGAAGTTATCGTTTGCAGTGGATGAGCTTGCGGGGTGGGCAGGGTTCATGAGAAGACAACCAACAGTCTTCAATGTCAATTCAACGCGATGTACTGAACCACGCATCTTTGGCACATGTACATGTTCGCGTACAACGCAGTGTTAATGCAACACCACAGTTGGTTTTCTGCAGGCTAATAATGGTTTGAGGTGAAATGACCCTGCGACCATGCAGCAGAGGCTAAACGGAAAAGCAGCTGGTCAGTAAGCAGGATGTGGTATATCCGACCGCAGCTCGATGGCCTGACCACAGGCCACGTAGATTTGAGGGTCTGGTATGGTCTGATTTCGGACTAGGGTCAGAGGAAGTTGCAAGGCCGGATCGGTTGGAATCAGATTGGACTTGGATTCATTGGTATATGGTACGCTCGTGTGCGAAAAGGGGCTCACCAACGAGCCATCAGTGCAGCGAGGCGGCATGAGATTTGAAGAAGTTGCTGGGGCGCAATAAGTGGAAATGGAGTTGTAGGCGAAACTAACCCAGGCCTTGTAAGGAAAGGTGTCGATATATTACGTAAAGCACGGGTAGACATACACGAGAAAAAACACAAAAAAGAAAATCTCTCTCCCAAGGCCGAGTAAGCATGGAGGAAGTTGCCAATGCATGCTACGTGGCGATCTTATAACAGGTGCCAGACAGTCTGGACAGACACCGCCACATGGTGTAATTAAATGAACGCTATTTTCTGCGACGTTGTTTTTTTTGGTCAACGTACCTACGGCAAGAAAGAAACTGAATCGATTTTGGTTGAGAGTTCCTCAGATATGCGTCAGCATTAAGCACAATGTGACACAAAACGAAAGTAAATGCTGTAAGGGGAATCCTTCGAGAACCAACGAAGAAACAGATATCCTCGTGGGAAATGCAAAGAGCGACGAATTCCATACACACAATGAAGGCATTCAAAACCAACAAAGTAAGAGCGCACAAGGTCACAGTTTCATAAGGGTACATGTACCACCATGGAGCCATTAAACTCTACTGTATACGCGTAAAAGCAAAACTCCCGAAAGCGATTTGTGAATACTTATACATGTACTTTCAATCACAACACTTGGTTTCATCATGATTTCATGGACCGTGTGAAACAGCTTCATGCCCATGCAGAGTCTTGAAAGTTAAGATTTACTGAAAACAGTAGGCAAGTCTCCTCGTCAACGAGTTTCCTGATCTTCTAGATTACTTAAATTTAATTGATGGGGAGCCGCGCAAGGGCTAAACAAAGTGTACCGTCTGGATTCTCTATGTATTGAGTTTTTCCTTGCTAAAGCACATTGCCGCCTCTGAATTTTCTCAACGCTTTACACGACATCCTCCCTTTTTTCTTTATTTTTCCCGTGACACTGTAACCGAACAATAAATTAGGGTCAATGTGCCGAGGCCCAGGTTCTCTCGGCGGGCCTTTCCGAGATAGGCAGTAGGCCAAAAAGCTTTGTGCCATTGCGAAACTAAAAGGCTGCAAGCAGTCGTGTCTGTAGTGTGCATGTAGGTCAAAGTTGGGTCTGGCACGCTGACAATACACATGTGGCCTAGACATAACCGTGGCTCCAGAAGCCTGTTTCAGATACGACTTAAATGAAATTTCCATCAGCTGCCTAAGTTCGCCAAAGCGATTCTATCCTGCGGCAGAATTGGTGGAGTTCCAAATCAGCACGCAGCTTTGTTGCTCGTTTATCAACCCGTGCGTTCACTGAATTACTTGACCCATGCATGGCAGTGACAATACAGTTTTTCCAGGGAAAATCTGCCCGAGTTTGGCCGACACGAAGGCGGTGTTCACGCTCGGTATCGATCTACTCTCACCAACGATAACGACTGCCATAAAAGTTTATGGTTAAATGCCCAATGCGAACTTCCATGTTTCATAAGCTCGTCTGATTATGGCAACCACAAAACTGTTGGTTTCTTATCCTCGCTCGTATTAACAAAACGTATAAACTATCATTTTCCTCGAGAACCTGATAGTCGGTTGAACCTATCGTCCTGCCCACACTTTATATCGAAACTGTTGTTGGATTTAAACTTTCTTTATGCTATTCACGGAGTGACACTATGCACGTGGCTCCTTCCGTTTCCGTCCTCGGAGGAGGTGTATAAAACTGAAAGCAGGAAATTAACATCGGCATTTATTTCAAGGCTGTGCCAGAGCTCATTGACATACAAAACAGCTAGTGAAGCTTACAAAGTTGAGACAAAGTCGTTGGCAGGCTAGGCATGAGTGACGGTAATATGCATGCAAACGGTGCCGAAATCCCCAGTACGCCCGCCGCCTCGAGCACGCTTCAGCAGTCGAGGAAAAGACCGTCATCTCCGAGTCCCCGCCAGGAGGACGGCAGGGCGTACAAGAGCCAGCGGTCGGTCTCGGACGAGATTGGACCTGGGATGCGGCAGTTTTGCCGACTGAAAAGTAACCCCAAGCTTGAGGAATCCAACCAAGGAGAGCACCTCACATTCACTGAAGAGGGAGAGGATTTTGCGGGAAATTGGAAAGAGACTAACGACACCCTCGATGAGGAGGCCATCGACGTTGGGGCGGGTGGGGAGGATGGTGGAGAGGGGAACGGGGCACCAACTAGCCCGGGGCAAAAATTGGCAGAGATTCAATGGGGCTTGGGCAGCTGTGAGTGCCCTTTCACCTTTGAGCACCAGCAGCCACTGGAAGGTGGTCAGGATGTTGTAGACGGGCTGTTCACAGAGCTGTTTGACGCAGGGAAGAAACAATTCAGCAAGATTATTGGGAAATTAATGGACCATTTCCGCTTGATCTTGCCGAAGGTACACAGGGTTCTTAACAAAAATAGGAGTAATAGAGCTGGAAAAATCAGAATGCCATTTGAAACGGACGCCAAAACTGCGCGTAATATCCAACAAGAACTGTTTTCCTTCTTAAAGAGCCGATAAGAAATGTCCTGTCACGCTCCTCCACACACTCTCAGCAACAGATTTGGGTTCTAAGTTCCTGATTATTTCCCACTCTCAAATTCCTTTGCGCAGAGTTCTCTGGAGGAGCATCCGCATAACAACATCCACGTGCCGCATCCAGACAAGTCGATTGGTGGAATGATTGGCCTTGGCATGAATATTCAAAAGGCAGAGAAAGGCCACGTAGTGCACACTGTCATCCCAGATGGTCTGGCCGCGCAGTCAAAACTCAGGTAAGTTATATCCTTTCAGAATACAGCTCACCACCATGAAAAGGCAATAAATCAAATCGATAACAAATCGATCGATCGATCAATCAACAAAATTGACAAAATTAATCAACGAATCACTGATCAGTCAATAAAATGATAAAATATACATGTACAGTCAATGACTCAATTGATCAATACACCATTCAATAAATTGAATGAAATATCAACCAGGGAATCAATTGGGGATTCAACCAATCAAACTGACCAATCAATATGTAAATTAACCGGATGACTGATAAATGGCTTGGTCAGTCGTTTCAGTTTGTCAGCCATCTTGTCACTTATGTCAGGTTTAAAAAATCAGTTGAGCAAGATCCCACTTGAAACAAGTTCCGCTTTGCACTTTGTCCTTTCCCACAGTCCAGCAGTAAACAGAAAGCAGGAAATGATCCTCCTGAAAAAATACAACAGAAATTAAAAAAAAGAAAGGAAATCGGACTTCCTTTCCTCACTGTGTAGTAGTTCCTACAGACTTTTCTTTATCAAGGTGAACTACTGATGTACATCTTTTGTTTGTTTTTCAGAGAAAAGGATGTTATTGTCAGTGTCAATGGAAATGATGTGAAGAGCTGGGAATTTGAAAGGTTGCAGCAATTCTTTGGGTCTCTGGCTGAAGTGGAAATCAAAATTGTAAGTTGCAGACTTACAACCTGCAGGCCTACTTACAGAAACCTCAAATTTATTTGACAGTGTGTGAAATTTCTTTTCCCAGATGCAAAGAGAGATAATGCCAGTGGCAAATGCCAAACCATACCACCCAGCCATTCCTATTAGGAATGAGCCGAGAGCAAAGCAACAACAAAGAAAGAAAAAACACAGAAATCTACAACTTAGCCAAGCTGAGTCAAGCCCAGCCTAGCAATCAAATACATCCCATCCACTAACCTCCCCCCAAACCAATCAACTAATAGCATCCGACAACTAACAGCCAGCCATCCAACCAACCAGGTCAACTTGCTTGGCAAATAACAGAAACAATAGTTATGCACTCTACATGTATAGATTTATAAAGAACTTGCTCCGTGGCAAACTTTGTTTAAACGGTAAACAGTGGGCGTCTTACATGTCTTTCTTTTGCTAACAGGTGGTTGAGCGTGAGGAAGAAGATGAAAGCGGCGCTGCTTTCTGCCAGAAACTCACCCTCACCTTCCAGCTGTCCCTTGAAGGTAAGATATCCCATTTTTCCACCAAATTTAATCCGGTTTACGAAACTTGTTCACATTTCTGAAGCAGTTACACCTCCCGGTCATGCCTACCTGTGACCCCTGACCCCAGATTACATCACATCCCCAGGGCCAAACAGAGAAGAGGGAGTGATATAATATACGCTAACACATATCGCCCAGGCCAGTTTGTGGATCCAGGGAAACCAACTTGTCCATATTTGCCAATTAACAACCCCCCCAGTTAAGGAGTGAACAATGGGGCACTGCACATCTGTGAGCTTGAGGCCCAATATATGCTATGTTAACAGTCGTTAAATAAGTTGATTCTTTTGATTTGGCAAAACAAGAACACTTGCCATATCGGAAAGGCTGTGATCAATAACTCCAGCTTATTGTTACTTGGATACCGGGCGAGAAAAGTTACAGAGTTGTCTGGGCAAACTGGCAGACTTTGGCTGCTAAACTGGGCAGAAAAGGAAAAACTGTCATCATCTTTCCTTCCTCGTTTTACGTTGCCTCCTTTTTTTCGTAGGGGATCAGGTAATTGTGGATGTTGCCATCAAAGTTGGCATCAGTGGTTGGAAGTTCACAGGCGTCACCGGGCCATACTACATCTTCCAGAACAATGTCAATGAGAACACCAAGTTCCTGACCTTGAAGGACAACTGCTTCTGCATGGCCAACGTGAATGACCTCACACCTTGTAAGCACCTGTTCATGTTGCCCTTCTGAGCTACTAATGACATTAATCATGATGCGGCCATATTTGTCTTCTTCCCTATAGACCCACTGGCAGTAGTAATACAACTTCACATATTGACAAAGGGAACAGACTATTTTTCCTTCCAGCCTCAGTTTGGCCGCATTGCTATGAACGGGAGGAAAGCAAGATGGCTGCCCTGTGATAGAGGTCTATTGTCATTCCCTGAAGTTTCCCCGAACTTCCAATATTGGTGCAGAGAATCTAGGTTTTAAACTGAGGTGCACATAGATTGCACTGGGAATGCTTTGGGTTCAAGATTTGAAGAAAACGATTTGTCATTCATTCACTTCTTAAGAAGCCACAGTACACATTTGTTAACATTTGATACACATTTATAATTCTGAACTCATGGCATTTCCGAACTAAATTCCCCCCCTTCTCATCCATTTCAGGTCGGTTTGAGCTTGTCCATTATGATCCAGTCATAAACGGACCCAGAGCCATCGTGAACCTGAACAACAATTCCCCACTGGATCACGGGGAGCCCACAAGAATTGTAAGTCTGTTTTCCTTCCTCCATGGTTCAACCTAATGAGCTTGATGATGAACCTGTTGAGTCTATCCTCATGTTAAGCAGTAGCCGTGTCCAAACTACATGTACTTGGCTGTGGCTTGTGATTACGCACGACTCTATGGGAAGTGCCTGCAGCCAGTGCCATAGATTCGTATGTAATTTGTAAGCCACAGGCAAGTAATTTTGACACAGCCTCCTGAACACAATCCAGCCTCTCTGCTTTTCCAGGGATATTCCACGAAAAAGCCAAACATTTGTAATTTGAATTGTCAGAACCAGAACTACAACAAGCCGACAAAGTCTACAAGTTTGATTTTTCCTTGTTATCAGGGTGAGAACAGTTCTGACCTGTACGGCGACCATGTCAATATCTTGACTGACGACCGTGTCTTTTTCACCATGAGGCAAGCAGACAGCGGGAAGTTCACATATGAGCTTGCGTCCCGAAAAAGTGAGTTAAATGCACACAGTACTGTAATGTTACACGACACATCAAAGTAAAATTCAACTTTCTAAAGCAGAGTGGTACTTCTTTTGGCCAATATGTACCATAAAGCACCATTTCTAGATCAGTATTCAAAGCTCTTGAGAGCAGAAAAACCAGTGAACAAAGCAGGTTTCATTTCATGCATGCCTTTCGCCTGCAATAATTTGAAATGAAGAAAAGGAAGAAATGAAAAAGGAAGAATTATATAAGAACCATTTCAGATTTGTGACCTTTGACTTANCTGCAAGTTCAAAATTCTTGAGGGAAAAAAATTAAAAGGGGAGCAAATTTTGCACGGAGCACTGGACATCACACCCCAGTCTGACAGCCCCAAGTTCATCCCCCCACACAAAGAGCATAAAAAAATCTACCATAGGAACTACATTTAGGGATAGTTGTGGTCAATTTTCCATTGGAATACACTGTGAAATTCTTCAAAAGCGTCTCACATTTTCTTGTCTCTCTAAGTGTGTCAAAAAGGTTGGCACAGAATTCTGTATTTGACCGTGAAAGTTTTTTTTTTAAATTTGACAGGCTATTTTCTTACGGTCGATGCCAGTGGCAAGCTGACGACAACCTACTTTCCCAGCAGAGAAGCTGTTGATTGGAGTGGACGGTTCGACATGGTGGCAACATCTCGTATAGACAAGATGTCCCCTTCTGAGATTGAGAAATTTGACGGCGATGACAAGACGCAGAATCTTTTCGACAGAGAAAAACCTGTCAACAAGTGGAAGTAAGGCAAGCCAAAATGTGCAAAAATTCTGAATTAATGTGATTGAGGCTTTTCACTTTTGATATGCTAAAAAACTACTGTTAGGCGGCATTTCAGGGCCAGTGAAGCTTTGATTTCTTTTCTTTTGGCCAGTGAAGCTTTGATTTCTTTTCTTTTGTTTTTCAGAATTATTTTCACGAGTGAAATCAGTTTCTTAAGTAAATTCCACATATGTGTATACAGTAAACATACATGTACCCAACAGTTGAAAATCACAGTGATGCATAATAATTACTGAGATTGTAAATAAAATGACAACTTAAATAAGATATATGAATGGTTCTTATTTTAATGCTTGTTTTAATGCTTATTTTAAAAATTTGTTCTGCAGTCTGAATAAATATTTTTTCACTGAGGACTGACATTTCATTAAAACTTGATGTTGTGGTGAGTTGATTCAATTGTAAATAATCTGACATAAATTTATACTCGGAAGGAAAATTAATATTACTTGCATTATTAAAAATATTTCATATGCTTTAATGTACATGTATTTTCTATGCTGGGCATTGCGATACTTTTATTGCTGTAAATTTAATTTTGTGCATGACTTCTTATGATAAAACTGTTTTTAGAAGGCATACATTTGCAACGTAAATATCAGCATGTATCTTTATGCTATGCATTAATTTTTCATGGATCTTTTTTTTCCGGCTAGGCACTTGGCAAGTATATTTTTTTGCTTGACGTGCATGGCCTAGTGGTTATATGCAGGGGTCCGGACTCCTGATCAGAGGGTCAGGATTCAAATCCAACTGCTGGTCATGTTGTGTGTCCGTGGGCAAGTCACCTCACCCATGTTTCTCTCTCTACAGGCATACCTGCTATGGCCTTTGACCAACCTACGATTAGACTGGCATCCCATGGGGGAGGGGGACACAAAATTCTCAGATGAAGGGGTCCATTGTTTTTCGTGTGCCTGTCACATCCGACACATGATTTTGCAAGTTCAGAGTCCATTTTCTAATTTCCCAGATTGATGAATTAATGTAAATTACCTGCAAAACAAATATTTATAGTTGGAAGTATCACCGGAATTGATTTCAATGTCAAATAACAAAGGCCAGATGTAACAGGGACACGGAAATGTCACACTTTTGCACCCCTAATTTCTGGAATTAACCTTGTAACAGATGAACGAGAAATAGATAAAGGGTGATTCCTCCAATTTTTTACAATTTTCATCTGAGCATCTATCCCTACAAAGATTACCAACGACTGAATGCTGATCAATAAAACTTGCTATCTGTGATTCACTTGGAAGCTTTCTCCTTTGTAATCTGTTACTTCACAAATGTAAAAATGCTGTCCCAACTGTACAATTCTAGTGATATAGCAAACTTGTGGTCTTGGGGAAAAACGGACTGAATAATTTAATTTGCCATTAATTAAATGATGAAATGGGGGGGGGAGATAAATTTGAACAAGGCACCCAGGTACCAATTCTGTGCATGGAAAAAATATTGCATCCTGACTCCACTTCAGCAGTTGTGTACAAAGTCTATGGGGAGTGAAGAGAATTTTCTTAATAATAGGCCTATTTGTATTTCCCAACAACATCAGTAGGCCTAATAAATGTTTCTCAGTCCAGAATTCGTGTCTTTCCAGCATTTCTGTAATGACTGACTTTTATTGAGATGATATATGATGAGAAAAGTGGAGTCAGGATGCAACATTTTTTCCTAGACTAAGAGTTCTCGAAAAAGTCTAGGCCCTGACATGACCGACTGCCGGAGTGACATTGACAACGGTTCTGAATCTAGGCCTAGTCATGCTGCTTGGCAAGCCTCCATCAGGAAACATCACACCAAAATTTCAAAGATTCAACCAAAATACCTTTATCACCACCTACTCTCCTCCTCATATGCCAACGTCACACCGTTGGGGCTTCAATGATATATCGGACTTCAAAATCTGTCAAAATCAGACCATTTTGCTCCACACACGCACGAACCGACACAAAGTTTTCAACGCCTCCTGCCAGTCAAATACGCGCGCGTGCCGAAATTTTGCCACCGCAAAAACTAAGGGCGAACATGGTCTTCCCAGACACACGCATGAATGGCCGATACGTGGTCTGGGTACAAGACTTGTTGGTCGTGGCGTTTGTAAGCGCTACCCGGCCTACGACTGTTTCATGGAAAATGCAGGCGCTGTACGGAGAGTTGCGATTGGGGGGGGGGCATTAACTGCGGACTGCATTGTTTCAATTTGTCAGAACAGTTAACCGCTAACATGCATTTAGTACCAAACACAGTGTGGAAAATTGAATCCGCATGAACAAAGAACCGCATTTCAGACAAATGGCTCTCAATCTTGAAAAAATGAGCTGATAAACAAAAAAATTATCAGTCTTCCAGACAGTATCGATGATGATCTGTGAGGGGAATTCGACAAGAGTGTGAAAATTGGGCACTGCAGTAAGTAAGGTGAAAAACACGACGAAAATGGGTACCAATGAAAAACGAAGTAAATTTCAAAAGCCAATTTTCTTCCCCGAAGGAATAACCTTTTTTGTTCATAAGAGTTACTAGTCTTCCATGTGGCATCGAAATTATTTGAAGGCAAACTCGGCAAAATTGTGAAAATTCGACACAAAGCTTAAAAAACGATAATTTGTTGCCGTAAATTGACATTTGCTACTCTCTTTCATTATTTTCCGGCGATCTTTCTTACCAGAAGCAATTAAATATCACGATTTGATAGACTCTTGGCAATTCATTAAAACACAAGGTCTTAAACTTCAAGGGAAATGGTACTACAACACCATCACAAGACCAGACACAAAACCAGACACAAGACCAGTCACAAGACCAGTCACAAGA